AGGATGACGTGCACGAACTGAATCCCCACCATACTCTCTCATCGTCTTTCTTGTATTGCATTTTCAAATTATGCGGAATGCCGCGCCACACTGTTCCATGATACATTGGTAGTTTATGAAGTGCATTCAAGAAGAGTTGTAAATACCCGTACCAGGCAGTCAAAGCACGTTCATTATTTTGCCGCAAAGATTCATTGAGTTGTTGGTAGAATGGACTGTCTTGTGTGTAAAGAAAGATAGCGGCATGTTCATCTTGTGTTAGTCCTTGTTTAGGATGTGTAGCATTTTTCTTTGCTTTTTGGATTAACTGCTGTAAACCATTAACTTGAAGACCTTTACACGCCTGTTCAAGCGTTATTACGCCATTTTGATTAAAACTGGCTACATTCTGGTAGAAATTTTTCGAATATTGTTTGCTGTCATTTTCACCAGAACTCATAAATAAGCGTGGGTTCATGCGAGTGGGTGTGTCCGTGTTTGATGGATGTGAAACATTATTGTGATCGTTGGTGGAAGGAGCACAGCCCATGATAAGCGATACTCTGCAAAACAAACCATGAGATGAAGAGCAACAAAGAATAGTATTGGAAGAAGAAAAAACTTTAAAATGCAGCTAAGGGTATAGCGTTGGTTGCAAATGTTTATTTCACAGCGATGTCATAAACATTTCTATAATAGACTTGGATTTAGGTTAATAGTATAGCCTCTCCGCAGATTTCAATAAAAAAACACGAAATGGTATGTACAAATGTAATTTTGTCATAGTGACGTTTTTTCCAACTTCCTAGTCGTTTTTCTTTAGTTTTGTCGTTCTTTTATTATTTATTTTTTATTCTGAGTTTCTTCTACTCTCCATAGAAACTTTCTCGATGAAAATTACGTCTGCATGTATTACGTACATTATTCCATTCATTCCTCTTCGCATACACAATGACACGTCCACGCTCACCTGCGTTGTTTTTCATTGCTTTCGAATGTTTATACACATGGAATAGAGCTAAAAAATCTCATGCTCATTCTAATACATTCCATCGGAACATTGTCTCATATGTATACCACCATCAGTTACGTAAATAGAAATCTTTTGCTACAAACAAAGTCATTACTTGTGAATTTTCATGTTTATTTGAATAACTATTTCAAAAAAGACTTTTCTTTGCATAGATAAGCACATACGCTTTAGGATTACTATATATAATTTGTAAATCTGTAATGCGTTCGTAGTGATTATCGTTAACATAATACCACTCGTTGGTTCCAATGTGGCGTACACAAGCTGTATAGTGACCTGAAGCGAGAGAACCCGCATGCATTGACATAGCAAGAAGGTCGTAAAGATCTTCAGACTTTCGTTGATTACTTCGGTAAAAATCGAAATCGTTGAGCGGATAATCAACTGTGGTCATCACTTTTCGATGTGTTCCATCGAATGGAAAACGTTTCAGTTGGACAATAATAATTGGAGATAAACTACCAAGACTGGTCTTCTGATAACCTCCAGCAATTTGCTCACATGAATCACAATAAATTTGTCCATCGAGTTTTTCTTTCTTTTCAAATAAATCTAATAAATTGGATAATGTGATAGGAACGGTAGATTTNAGGATGACGTGCACGAACTGAATCCCCACCATACTCTCTCATCGTCTTTCTTGTATTGCATTTTCAAATTATGCGGAATGCCGCGCCACACTGTTCCATGATACATTGGTAGTTTATGAAGCGCATTCAGGAAGAGTTGTAAATACCCGTACCAGGCAGTCAAAGCACGTTCATCATTTTGCCGCAAAGATTCATTGAGTTGTTGGTAGAATGGACTGTCTTGTGTGTAGAGAAAGATAGCGGCATGTTCATCTTGTGTTAGTCCTTGTTTAGGATGTGTAGCATTTTTCTTTGCCTTTTGGACTAGCTGCTGTAAACCGTTAACTTGAAGACCTTTACACGCCTGTTCAAGGGTTATTAAGCCATTTTGATTAAAACTGGCTACATTCTGGTAGAAATTTTTCGAATATTGTTTGCTGTCATTTTCACCAGAACTCATAAATAAGCGTGGATTCATGCGAGTGGGTGTGTCCGTGTTTGATGGATGAGAAACATTATTGTGATCGTTGGTGGAAGGAGCACAACCCATGATAAGCGATACTCTGCAAAATAAACCATGAGATGAAGAGCAACAAAGAATAGTATTGGAAGAAGAAAAAACTTTAAAATGCAGCTAAGAGTATAATATCGGTTACGCATATTTATTGCAGATCGATGTCATAAACATTTCTATAATATACTTGAATTTATTGATTAAACTTTGAAAGTTATTTCCAAGAAAACGGTATTTGCGTGTCAGTTCTAAAATCTTACGCATCCTCAAAACGTGTTAATAGTATAGCCTCTCTACAGATTTCAATAAAAAACACGAAATGGTATGTACAAATGTAATTTTGTCATAGTGACGTTTTTTCCAACTTCCTAGTAGTTTTTCTTTAGTTTTGTCGTTCTTTTATTATTTTTTTTATTCTGAGTTTCTCCTACTCTCCATAAAAACTTTCTCGATGAAAATTACGTCTGCATATATTACCTACATTATTTCATTCATTCCTCTTCTCATGCACAATGACACATCTACGCTCACATGTGTTGTTTTTCATTGCTTTCGAATATTTATACACATGGAACGAAGCTAAAAAATCTCATGCTACAAACAAAGTCACAACTTCTGACTTTTCATGTTTATTTAAATAACTATTTTAAAAAAGACTTTTCTTTGCATAGATAAGCACATACGCTTTAGGATTACTATCGATGATTTGTAAATCTGTAATACGTTCGTAGTGATCATCGCTAACATAATACCATTCGTTGCTTGTAATGTGACGTACACAAGTCGTATAGTGACCTGAAGCGAGAGAACCCGCATGCATTGATATAGCAAGAAGGTCGTAAAGATCTTCACGCTTTCGTTGATTGCCTCGGTAAAAATCGAAATCATTGAGCGGATAATCAACTGTGGTCATCACTTTTCGATGTGTTCCATCGAATGGAAAACGTTTCAGTTGGACAATAATAATTGGAGATAAACTACCAAGACTGGTCTTCTGATAACCTCCAGCAATTTGCTCACATGAATCACAATAAATTTGTCCATCGAGTTTTTCTTTCTTTTCAGATAAGTCTAATAAATTGGATAATGTAATAGGAACGGTAGATTTATCGGGCAGTGGCAGTGACAAGAACTTCATCGATTCAGTTCCTTCTCCTGTCTTTCCGCAGGCCTCACATGTCACTTGTGAGATCGTTTCAACATTGAACAACTTTTTGATGATAGAAGATGCTGATACATCAGCGGCAAATTTTTTCGTCATCTCATCTTGCAGAGCATCAAGTAAAGCGATGAGAAATTCATGGGCATCATGTTGAGCATAACCAATAAACTGTGGAGCATATCTACATATCGCACGCTTTAATTCAACAACCGTATCGTATGAACATTGTCCTGACCACATTGTTTGTACCAATCTAGCATATGATGAGATAAGATTATCTTCTCTAGATTGAATGGGCAAAGTTCGAAAAAATAGTGCGAAGGGAGGTACAACATTTAAGCATTGAAGAGCACTATTCATGTAACAGCTATTACTAAGATTCGGTAGACCACAGATTTGCGGGACGACTTGTAGTGCAGGTGGATGTTCAGCAACCAGTTTTGAACTCTCTCTATCATGCTAAACAAGATCATTTATCCGGCAATATTCTCCAATATAGAAACTGACCATTTTTCTTTTCAATGATGCTGACTCATTGGTCAATAAGAAACGACCACTTGCATTCTTTTCGTTGGTACAACGATACTGTTCGATGCTGATCGATCTTAACAGTTGTTTAGATGTGTTATCAACTAGAAAAATAAACATAACCTTTCTAGTGCTAGATTGAATGATTTTCATCTATTGCTATATATGTAAATAGCACAGCATACCTTTCTTATCACTGACAGTAGCAGAATTTTGACTACCAGTCGCGAGTAGTCCAGTTTTCGATATTGTACGACCGTCGGATACTGTTCGACCTATACCAATACAAGAGAAGATGACAAAAAATAAGATCAGTGTAGATTTAAGCACATCGACTCACATCTGTTGTCATATGATTGGCTTCGAGAAGGACGAGTCCGTTGTTTTTCAATTCCGCGTTGACTCATTATTATGCGATATCTGAAATAAGAAAAAAAAACATTGAAATGTAAAAGTTTCAGGATACTACATTCATTTCGAAAACAGTCTATGCACTCTTATTAGAGAAAATACAATCAAGAATAAGCATGAAAATCACGAATTTGCAGTTGGATTTGTGTTGGCGATAATATTTGATTGTTTAGCTTCCAATACGAGGAAACACGTCGTAGGTTTGAATTACCGGCTCGCTACATTTTGAAAAGGTATTAGATCCATGAAGTCTCTTGCATTCATCTTGTGTTCTCAAGCAAAAGAAACAGAACCAATAATCATGTTCATCACGGCTGCAGCGATTGCATTTGTGCATTCGACATTTGTCGCCATACATTCCATGAGTTGAACATTTTGGACAGCATCGTGCACTGGGCAGTTTGACATTTGGTTGACTACTCATTGAAACCAATTCAAAAGCTAAATACTGCTGATAAGTGCACGAAGAACTGCATGAATATTTTTGGTTGCTCATAGTCGCCGAGTCCCAATCAAAGTTACAGAAAAAACACATCCACCGTTTACAATATGGGCATTGCTGGCGTGAGTACATAGTAGTGTTCAAGAAGAATTTCCCACATCTATATGAAAGAAATTGTTATTTTTCACATAATTTGTAAAGGAAATTTCTGGAGTAGGAAACCAAGGAAGACCTTACTTGCAAATTTGGAAATCGATGTTTCGTTGCTGTTCAATCAAATCTTCAAAGTGATCGTATTCCGTTTTAAAAGAATCACCTGGAATGAACGAATCAAGTTCTATAACTTTTTTACAAATACAGCATGGTAAAATGTATCCTTTTTGAGCAAAATGTTCCGGCAAGCATATTTTGCACACATTGTTGCGACACCCTCCTTTGGGACAAATGAATTGAACGCAATCTTTTGTTCCGTGACACACTAAACATTGAACTCCTGACGATGTTGGAAGCTTGTACAATTCCGATCGCAATGCAGTAAAAAATTTTGCGGCGAAGGCGTCCATGCCGAATAACTGTCGGTCGTTACCACCTGATAATTTCTCACCAACGAGAATCACAGTTCGGGGATTCATTTGTTTTTTCATTTCTTCAAAACGACTCTTGTCTTCATCAGTACTATCATTGAATGGAATTGTTTTTCCTGCCATTAGAAGTCGAAATGGAAACACAATTCGATTATCACATCCTGGTTCGCTCTCGACCTTCAAATTTGGATAGAGTTTCTCAGCAACCACTTTGTAGAGATCTTGAGGTTTGCATTCGGGTGGAAATGGATGACTAAATTTAGATCCAACCATTGCAGAAAAATTCAAACTGATCATCGGTCTTCTTTTCGCCAATAAAGCTAACATTGTAGTAGTATAGAATAGTATATTCAATGAAATATAAATCGTTGCTTGCTTGTATTATCGAAGGAATGTGTTGCAATTGCAAATAGTGACTATCACGGCAAGTTTGTCTGCGCTTTTTATAGGCTCGAGAACTTTCTCGATGGCGACAGAGGGTTTTATCCAACAGTGCGACTTGTCATTTCTCAATAATCTACTGAGAATTTTTAGATAAACAGTGAGTCATAAGATAACGTACCAACATTTATCGCATAGAGAATTGTGTTTATTCGACTTTGTTCTGTTTCGCGCGTTTGTTTGCGGAAGAAAAAAAGACTGCGTTTTTGAGTGACGCCAGTTTTACTTACTTTTCCGGAATACAGCTTATGAGACTTTTAGGTATGAAATGAAATAAAAGATCATCATCCACTTTTATTTATGCTTAATCAACCATTTCAAAAATACTGGAGACAAAACAACTGCTAGTTGCATCATTATAAGTATTATGTTTTATTCTTTGAAAAATAGCATGTGTCTTTTTTATCAAGTGATAGTCAATAATACTATCGTGAAGTTCCTTAGAAACTGACGAATTTTTCCAGTTTTTTGCTTGAAGTGGTCACGTCTACATTTTGTAATTGTCTTGGATTCAAATAATTTGTTATTTCCTGCACTGATTCTTCTTTCCTACTCGTGTAAACAAGACACGGACAGTTGAATCCCAACTTGCGAACTTCAAGAAGAAGTTTTGCACCGGCACTTTCTGGTGGATCTTCATTGTCGCGATGCATGTCTGTCACAATGCGAAAGTTCGATTTCCCTTTTAACCGTTGCCCAAATGGAGAGTTCAAGAAAGCAAGTGCCGCTTCAGTATTGGATTTCGGAATAAAGTGAACACTGACTTCACCTCCAAGTGTACCAGCCTTTTCCATATGCTCTTTGTTTCCCCAATCCTCGTCAAAGATATGGTCGTCTACCCATAAGACCGAGTGTTGGCACAATCCTAATTCAACTTGACGCATGAAAATGCGGTTTTGATAAGAATCTCTCTGTACCTTAGTGACCAAAAAAGATGAATGAGGCATGAAAAGAATCTCCTCTTCATCAGGAAAGTTAGAAAATTCTTGGATGCCTCGACCGGTAAGCGAATACATAGTGAAAATAGTGTTACGCTTAGCAAAATGTTTCGCTGGCCGGTCACCTTTCATCGAACTGCTAAACTGGATCCAGGTGATAATAGCACCTTCGAAATACTCGTTAAGATCCGCCTCGTGCATATTGACTGCACGCGTAGTAGTGCCCCAGTAGAAATTGATGTGTGATAAGCCCAAAATAAGATAGTACATAATAATGCTAGCGTGATCGGCTTCCGTATCTTCCAATATACTTGTGGCCTCGCCGTTTCCCCGTCGAGCCATTGTGGATGAACTACGATTGATCGTTCCACTGTTGGAACCCGTGTAAAAGCAGATTGCAAAAGCACATGCCTTAGCATCATCACCGGATAAATGTTTATCTAGGAAGTACTGCATCGTTTCATCGCTTTTCGTGTCATGTTGGGCCATGCCTTTCTTGTCATACTTAGAACAGACACGATATAAATCAGCGTAGGATAGTCTATTTTTGATAGATTGAGCAATAGTACTCTTGAAATTGTCTTCGTATATAAGAAATTCTTCGCGTTGTTTCAATAATTGCGATGGATCTGCGACGAGTGTAACTTGACTTAACAATAATTCTGAATCCAAAGAGTCATGTGACTTGTATTTACTGCTAAGTTTAGAAAATTTTGCTACATGTCCGATGGGTTTCATGTACTTCGACGCAGCCGTAGCTTCCGGAGAGAAAGGGTTGGACGAATCCAAAGAATGCGCACTGGAAGTGGCACCTCGATCGCTGATGTTGGAACCATTTTGTTGCTTTTGATATGAAGAAAAACAAAGTAAGATATGAGTAGTATATAAAGGACTTCTTGAATATTCTCTAATTTAAAACAAGACTATATTGATAAGAAAGAGCGATCGACGCTATCCGCTTATCTTATTGGACTGTATTGATGTTCTGTATCGAGAGTTTGAGTTTAAAGGTAAATATAATTTATTCTTTTTCTGAGTGCGTTCTTAAAATCGTGATTCCCACCTACACTGCGCCCCCGGGCTTTGGAAACACAATCACATACCTGATTCTTAGCTTGGGATTTACCGCCAGCAAGCTGTTCGAGACAGTCTCGGTGGAAGGACAAGCCATTGTTTGATGTTACTCTATCAGCTACATCGGTAAATCGACCTGAACACAGAGAGCAACTTGGCATGTCTAATTAATCTAAACAAGAAGAGTATGTTATATGTGGATCTCTTTATGAGTAGTGTAGAAATCGTTAACTCCATTCGAGTATTAAACCGTCTTCGACTTTTAAATTTCTAAATCTAGAATTCGAAGCTTCGAGTTTTGAACTTTCAAACTTCCACAACTTCACCTACACCCATCCGCCCATCACTCATACCTCCACCCTCACCCTCACTCGCACCCATCCAGCCATAATTTAGGAAGCTTCAAATTCTAAATTTAAAACTCGAATACTCGAATCGTCTTTTCGACTATTACATGTACGTGTTTATGTTAGATATTTTTAAAAATGCCACATAACAGTCATATTCTGAACATTTCTTTACCTCGTAACCAAAGAACAAAGTCTCTCACTTTGAACGCGTTGCTCTACAAGGCAATTTATTTTATATTCACCGTCTTTCTGTAAAAAATAGGTAGCAAAAAAGAAAAAATTCTATACGATGAGTGAAAGAACAAATATAAAAAATCTATGAGTTTGGCTACATCTAACCATTTTTTCTTTTGAAAATAAAAAAGAGAGTGCGCAAACGCGCTGAGACACAGAATTGGAGTTGAGAGCTGCTATGGCAAACAATTATTCTTTCGATAAAATCAATACGACGTCATGGCTACACCCTAAAATCGCAGGACGAAACGAATATGAGAATTCGCGTATTATTTGCAGTTCAACGAGCGAAAAAAATTGATGCGATATAAGCAGTAAATACGAAGATTTCCGACTTTATTCGAAAGTTAGACATATTGCAAAAGGTATATCAGATGAAAGGCAGAAGAAGCCATACAGAAATATCAAGACTTTTTTCAATAACCTGGGCATTACTCGCCCAATCAGTCTTATTTTCGAGTCCCATCAATATTTTGATGTAACAATATTTATATTTATTCCCGTTTGTGTCGAAGAAGTCGAGCGTCTTTTTTCACATCATATGAATATCAAAGCAAAATCTGTTGGCAATATTCACAGCCAAAAAACGTAACAGCAAGTGTTCTTGTTGTCGTCGGTTTGGATAACTTAAGCCATGAAATAATTTTTCAAGCTTCATCTTGATTAAAGTCTGAGTGTAACTGTCGGGTGCTGTTGGATTTGGGCTCCACGTAGAATTTTGTAAATCAATTAACTTCGGGAGCTTTTGTCGTAGACCTTCGACTAACTCAAGAAATGATTAATGACGATTATTGAGTTGTTCTTGTTCAATGTCAAGTATAATCTGTTTCGCGTTCGGAACGAGTTTTCCTAATTCATCTAGAGGTCTTGAGTAAGGAGTTGGTTGTTCGTCAACTCCGATACCTATCGATATCTTCGCATTTATAATTTGTCGTCCTCTATGCCTTCCGGAAATATCTTGTGGCATGGTTTAATCACAGAACTGAATCCATGCCAGCTCCGAAGTTTAATTGGATTTAAATGAGGCGCTTGCCCAATAATCTTTGCCACATACTCCAATGTTTCACATGAACAACAGACAACTGAATCCGCAATTTCTATTGCACGATTATTCTTATAAACCAAGCCTGTCTTTAATTCAAAGTTGGCTGGCACTGACGACATATCCAGTGAAAGTATTCGGCAATTGTATAATTTTCGTAGAATAAGTTCCGCTTGAAGCTGAATAGTGTTTGTTTTTCGACTCGATATCATATCAAATGGCTGAGGTTTGGAAGTAGTACGTATATCATGAATACGTTGAGTCAAGTAGCTGTTCTAATTATATTGGAAAAGGCGAGGCGGAATCATTTGACTGTTTGTCTGTATTAATATAGTATTTAAATTTCTTGAGAGTGAAGTTTTGTACGAGCTTCTGAAGGTGGCCATAATCAGAAAATTTCTCGTCATGAATGTTAGTTCCAATAATGATCAATGCATGAATATGCTTCTTAAATGGCTCAAGAAAAGTTTGTATTGTTTGGAAGTTATTAAGTAGACAAGTTGAAAGTTCACATAATGATGAATTAGTTAAAGCTTCCCATATGGACGTATTTTTTTTGGTCAGTGATTCCAGATGGATGAATTGATGTAGGTAAATTTGAAAGAGTCCAAGCTGATGACAATCAACAAGCGTAAGCGATTGAATTTGGTGGAGATTGTCTGGAAGTATACATTCGTAAAATAAACGAAAAGATTGATATGAAGGTACATTGTTGTTGGTCAGGTCAATGTGAGTTAGATGCGAGAGAACAATTTCTTGAAACCGTTGATTAAGCTGAATGAATTCATTAATCAAGTCAAATTTGTGTAAGCATCGGAAGATAAGAAATAATAATTCATTTGGTAAATGTTCGAAATGCGTCATTCCTTGCTTTCGAAGGCAAAATAAAACGTGTATTACATACCTATGTACAACAAATATCGTGCGTAACCATCAAGTGAACGAGAAAAGGTAGAAAGAATTGAAGAATAAATGCAACTACACTATTGCGGTGAGCATAATGCTGCAAAACCGAACAAACCAATTATATACTTTCGTAAACGTTAAAAAAAAGGGATTGCTTGAAAACTTTAGTAATAAATGAAATCGTTGTTTTCATTCTTATCAACAAATCTAACATTTTCTCTTATCTTTTCGTTCGTATTCTTCACGCACATGACAGAGTAAAACTTCATTTAGAAGAAAAACTGTCCCAATGGATTCTAACAAATTCGAAATTATATTCAAGGAAGGAAGAGGACGATACATGATTGCTAATGAAGAGCTATCACAAGGGGATATTGCATTCGTATGGAAACCGTACGTTCTTGTTCCATATGTAACCTACAAAGACCAAGTGTGTGCAAATTGTATTCTAATATCGATGAAAGCGAAACACGAGTGTCGAAACAATTGTCATCGTGCGTATTACTGTTCAAGGTATTGCGAAGAACAACACTGGAATGAGTATCATCAATATGAATGCTCATTTCTGGAGAAAATCTTTCAGCTAGAAAGGCTTGGTTACAACGATGAGGTGGTGAATTATGCTCGATTAGTCATGCGAATTCTAACTCGACGATTCAAAGATCTTTCACAAAAGTCGAAATGTATGTCATTTGATGAAGTTTGGTTATCATCGTCACATGCCGATAAGTTTTCAAAGGAAAAGGCAAAGGAATTCGAATGCATCGCCAAACTGTTAACAGAATACGTTTTAACGAAGCTTGTTTATGAAAAATCGAACGATTCCATTGAAGTATTTCTTCCTGATAGTGAAGACACGAAAAAGGTTCATATAGACGATTTCGATCAATGGTTTGATGACAGAATTCAATCAAATGAACGAAACGCAACGAAAGTGTTATTAGAAAAAGTATTTATTCTTGTTTGCATCGAAGAGGTCAACGCTTTATTTCACATCACATTTAAATTGGATGGATACTCTGCACCGCCACAAACTTACGCCATGGGAATCTATCCATCAGCTGCATTTGTCAATCATTCGTGTTCACCGAATTTAGCACGTTTTCCTGTTCAAGATGATCGAAATGATTTTCATGTCGGCGATGTCGTGTATTTCGCAACTCGTTCAATAAAGCCAGGCGACGAAGTTTGTTACAGTTATTTAGAAAGAGACGCGACACTTCCTGGCAATCGACAAGAAATGATTCAATGTCAACTGAAAAGAAAGGAAAAACTAAAGGAAGAGTTTTTCTTCGACTGCGATTGTGTGCGATGTCAAAATGAATCTAATGAAAATAGTGATTCATCCTATGAAACCTTAATTGAGCAACTAAAATGTAAAAGATCAGAGTGCAAAGGTTGGTTCATTCCAGCTTTGAATGGAAAACAAATGATGTGCGAAGCATGTCAAATGTTACGATAGAATTTGATTTTGACACTGTCAGAAAATAAATCGCTTTAGTCGTAAAGCTACGATTGGCTCTAATATTACTTGATATTATTCATTTTGTTACCTTAAATCAATAATTTATCCTCTCATGGATTCAAGTAAATATCGTAATTGTGTAATAGTCAATGGCAAAAACATAGAAACCTTATGAATGAAGTTGGAAAAAAAACTCAAGTTTTGCATTTCTCCAACTTTTCTGTTTTTCCTTTTTCTAATAGACGTATAAACATCATCTTGAATACGAGTGTTACATATTTTCCCTTCTCTCTATATCGTGTGGTACTCATCACTGTAGGTAAGTTTAGAAAGTATGTCTCTCCAAGACAAACCAATTGATGATAAACCATCGGACGAGAGACGAGAACCGCCAAGAATAAGAATCAACCGTGAACAAATCGTTCTAATTCTACTTCATCGTCAAATTAATCCGTCGCAATCTATTGCCGATGGTAGTAATATTTGTCCAGTCGAGAAAATTTTACGTCAATTAACTGATAATTTACATTTATTTTCCAACAACAATGACTGCCTTTCCTACGCTGAAAAGGCCAAAGATCAAACAATATTTATGATCATCGATAGTTCGTATGCATCAGCGGATCTCTTGGGAAAACTTCACACCATGCAGCAAATAAATTCAATTTTTATTTTCCGTCAAGCCAAGGATATGCCCGTTCCGGTCTTGTCTGCCACAGACTATTGTAAAATAGTAAATGTGTCCGATGAACAAGATAATTTAACCTCGAGTATTGAACACATCACTGATTATATTGATAATCAATCAACCATATTCACTGTTTGCGACCAAGATAAGCAGATGTCGACTCGTGATGTCGACCAAGAATCGGGAATGTTTATTTTCTTTCAACTAGTGAAAAAGGTTATTAAAAAAATGCTACCAAATGAAGATGCCGTATGCAAGAGTAAGGAAGAAATGATTAACAAATGTCGTCTTGATTGCAAAGATAGCACAAAAGATCTTGAGAATATCATCAGATTTGAAAATGAATATACTGCCGATCAAGCGATTCAATGGTATACGAAAGATTGCTTTATTTACAAGCTTATCAACAAAGCTTTACGAACCGAAGACATTGAACCCTTGTATACGTACCGTTTTTATATCAATGATCTTAGTGCATGCTTGGCCGAGCGTTGTAAACTTCTGCGAGAAAAGACGTCAAAAATTACGGTTTTTCGCGGTGCAAAGATATCCAAAGCTGAAATCGATCGACTCGCGCAGAATAAAGGACATTTAATTTCGACGAACGGATATTTTTCAACGACCTGGAAAAGAGCAGTAGCCAATATTTTTGCAGGCATCGAAGGAAATAATCGATCCCATTCCGATCTATATCAGTCCATTCTGTTTGAAATCACCGTGGATTTAGAGAAATATCCTGAAATCATCCTTGCAGATATCCAGGATATTAGTTTACATAAAGATGAAGAAGAATTACTCTTTGATCTGGATACGGTATTCAAGCTTGAATCCATTACGTATAACGACACTTTATCGTATTGGACATGTATGATGTCGGCAAGTAACGAAGGTCGTATTATTGTCAGACAATATCTTGATTTTAAAGAAAAAGAACTAGACAATTCGGATGACAATGAAGTTGCATTCGGCAATCTTTTGTTTGACATGGGTCAGTGGTCTAAATCTCGGATATATTTCGAGAATCTTGCACTACGTCGTACGAATGATCCTCACATTCAATTTGGTATTGCGTCATGCTGCCGTGCTCTTGGTGACATTAATCAAGCTCTTTTTCATTTACAACAGGCTTACGATCTCAGTATGCACATTGAACATGAATGTCTTAGATTAAAGGGTCAAATTTGCTGCAATCTATTGCGAACCTACCAAGAATATGGAGATTTTTCGAAAGCTGCTGCTTTTGGCGACGAAGCACTAGACTTCTACCGACAAGCAGGAGAACACAGCAATGAAGTCGGAATTGCAAAAGTATGGATTAATTTTGGCCTGCTTAACTACTACAAAGGTCATGACGATATCTGCTTAGAACAATTAGAGCGCGCTCATACACTCTTGAAGCGTACTTCTCAGTTTGATGGTCCAGAAATCAGCGAATGCTACAAATTTTTGTCGTTCGCTCACTACCACAACGGAGACTACGACAAAGCACTAGATTCTTTAATGAAAGAATCACAAATAACAGCACGACTCTTTCCTACTAATCATCCACAAACTGCTGCAACCGAAAACAATATCGGAAAGCAATATTACAAACAAGGCAAGTATGAAGAAGCACTAAAACAGTTTCGTCGTGCAGCTGAAATCAGCGAGCGAGTATCGACGACTAACAGTGCAAACCAAATTGTTTTTCTCAATAATATCGGCAAGGCGCTCTATCGACTGAAGCAAATTGACGAAGCCGAAAAGTATTTTGAAGAAGCTCTTCAATTAACCAAAAAGATTTTCTCATCATCAACCGACCACATTTACCTAGCGTATACTTATAAAAATCAAGGCGAGATTTTTTTGGCGAAGAACGATTTTGTCGGTGCACTTGCACTTTTCCAACAGGCTCATGACATGTACAAACGTATTTTTGTGCAAAATAGTAATCAGCGAGACGTCGCCAAATGTCAATATCTCATCGGATTGAGCCATCTGGCACTTAATGATATCGAACAGGCAACCACTGCATTGGAACAAGCACTGCATATGCGAACAAACGCTTTGCATCCTGATCATCCTGATTTAGCTTTCAGTCATCGATCCATGGGCGATTTATACATGTGTAAGAAGAATGAAGTCAAAGCTATCGAACACTATAAGTTAGCGCTAGCAATTTGGGAGAAACGCCTGCCTTCTGATCACGATCAGTTAGTAGATCTGAAAGAGATATTGGCACATTTTAAACCATAATCACGCGAACACTTCGTCAAAAACAAAGAGGAGTCACAGTCATATTACTATTTATCTAATATATTGTAATCTCGAATTCTGCTACGTTGTATAAAATCACGAAATATATTCGTATATCATTAAGTACACAGTCGATACCTAGATGTCGCTCTATAGCAATCAACTTTTCCTTTCAATAGCACATATTCTACACATTGTCAAGAAAGAAAAAAACGTTTTGGCTGATGAAAGTAGGCAATCAACGTCCTCGTATTTTTCTCGTACTCAAATCGTCTTTTACCGAGGAAGAAACAGAACAGTACATTATGTTTTTTGTTACAACATCGCCCAATGATTTTTATGAATATTCTCTGTATGAATCTATATTTTAGATTAAACAATACAGCTTTTAGCTAGACTCTATGCATGCCGTAATAAAGCGAAACATTCCTCTTGGTTGGTATCATGTTGATCAGATTGTGATTTATTTCATGAATCGATGTAGTTCAATGACCACACAACGACTCATACATTCAGCTAGTTTCAACTGTCGCCATATGTCGCGGAAGATTGCCGCATATGACCGGCGCCTGCTTTCACCGAAAGCGCAAGGTAAGAAGTAGACTTCAGTAGAAACAGTATACTGTTGGTTTTAGTGTATAAAAAGTAACTCGTATTGCACGGTATGCGGTATGCTATCATATATTTCTTTTCTTTCTACAAACCAACAATAAATGGTCAAGAAATGAAGAGTATTATTTTTGTTACATACGATTAGTATATACGCTGTTATTTTTCTTTTCGTCTTGCTTCTCGCGATGAGATTTCACAGACCAAAGTGGCAAGAAGAACACGGGTGAAACAGGTTTACTCAGTGTACTAAGATTTAATGTAAATGTAAAATAATCCAACACTTATGTTCTCACCGTTCGAAACTATTCTTGGGTCAATATCATTGTAATTGTTAATCTTTAGAAAAAATACGCTCGATGTCGTCGCAGTGCGATTCAAAAGACAAAAAAGACAATGAAAATCGATGTGAACAACAAAGCCTGCAATTACTTAAATTAACTGTTGAAACAGATCCCATTCTTCATAACCCAATAGAAGAGATGCGTCTAGAGGATATCTGTAGTCCTGAGACAAAGCAAATTGTGGCAAATATGATCTATTCTATTCGAGCAAAACAGCTGGAACGTGCGAACGCTCCATTTACTAAGGCGGCTGGCATGGCCGTGAATCAATGGGGCATAAACAAGCGAATATTTTTATTTTGCCCCGAAGGAAATGATGGAGAGGTAAAAGTTATATTTAATCCAACATACAAGCCAATTTCGTCGAACCAAGTATCAACAGATCCAACGAAAACAAAATCAGAAGATCAGTTTACAAACTTATATCGAGAAGCTTGCTTCAGTGTTCCACAAGCATATGGAATCGTCGAACGCTACACAAATATTGCAATTAGTTATGTTGATATCGATGGTGTGCAGCATACGGATGAGCAATTATCCGGTTGGAAAGCTAGAGTGTGGCAGCATGAAACAGATCATTTAAATGGAATGTTGTACTCAAACAGACAATCGGGACTTAAATATGGTCCGAACTGTACAGAATTTCATAGATTTCAAACGAAATCGGAATTCGATGAAAGTTACCCGAAATAAAGAAATACAATCTGCGTAAGAAAATAAAAATATAAAGTTAGCCGATAGATTTCTTCTACTTGTATTGTTATGTATGAATGAGATACAACATGTCGAAATGCCTAATGAACAGTTTTAATTGCTCAATTACAATCACAATTTAACGAGAAAAACAGTCAAAGGGTAGTAACTATAAACACTATTTTCGTTCTTATCTCGAGATTGTCGATTGTGGTCGGAAAAGTACACGTAAGTATATTCATTCTCGTACTAGTTTTGAAAATGGAACAAAATGTACATCGCACCGTCTAAAAGCAATCCTATTGACAATTGAATAAAGTAGATCATGAAGCAATTTGATCAGTCATAAAGTGTAGCTATATTTAGACGGTAAATCAATACTTTGGACAGTACTTTTTCTTTTTAATGATACGCGTTATCATCGCACGATAAATGACAACAATAAAACAGAAAAGCACTCGGTTCAAGGACAGTTTTATGATGATTATACGATCTCCGTCTCGTATGAATGCATACTATCGCTTACTAAACAAAATATTTATTGTCTTCACTGAGATATAAAACCATTGCGCATTTGGATTAAATACTAGACACACTTCTTCACGTCTACCATCGACCATGGTGTTGAACACTTGGTTTTTAGATCATTTTTACAATTTGGATACTATAATCAGAATTGGATGGTTGGCATTAATATTTGCACCGTTCAACAAGATTTCGAAGTATTGCATTATTTTACCGACTTTACTGTTCTCCATTGAATGCATCCTGATGCTACTCTTTCGAGACTTACCAGTGCTCAATTGGATTTCACTCAAAGATCTACTCATGACTATCATCGTTCAACGAAAGCAATTTTATCTGATGGATTTATGGATTGCTCAATGGATGGTTTATAATTTCTATGCAGGATGCGGCAAAACGGCATCATGTGGCTCATATCATATCAACAAAACATGGACGTCGGAAAGATATGTGTTTACTATCCTCCTTTTCCTGACTTATCTTGCTGCGCCGCTTGGCCTCGTACTTTACATCGTAGGAAAACACTCTTTTTTGAAAGAGTATCAAAAGAATGTACAAAATGTTATTAAAAACGACCATTTTCATATTGATCAACTGAAACATCCATTCTCAATTCCTCATACCGTTCGATTTGCTGATCGATTACCTGAATCGTTGTCGTCAATCTACTATTTCTTACTTGGCATTATTGGGTTAACAATTTTATTTACTATCGTTCTTCCAAGTTACATCGGTTTGATAATCTATTGTCGAATCGTGTACAAGTATTCATCATCATCATTATCCGACTTAAAAACCATCCCCGAATCTGTTCGCAATGTAACAGCAGAGATGAGATTAACATTGATCAAAACCGATCGCAATCAACGACGTTTGATCTGGCATCTCAAATATCTTCTTTTGCAATTCGCTACTATATTCGAATATGCATCCAACTATTCTGAACCTTTTCGTTTATTTCAATCCTTAGAAGAATACTTTCGTAAAATCTATCATACTCCATACTTCGTTTTGGGTAATGGTATCGCAGTGAATTCGTATGACATAGTCAAACGGTATATTCAAGATCTTCCACCACGAAAAGATGCGGAGCTACTGGCTTGGGAAATTTCACCATCATTGGAAACATTTTGTGATTTTACAACAGTTTTTCTTTCCACTGACCATCCGGATACGCAGTTAGGTCGTAAGATCATATTTCAATGGTTACATTCCTTTCCTCATAATCTGAAACATCGAAATTTCGAAATGGAACTTCAACTTTCACGAATAGTTCCACGTCACATGGATAAAAAGCCAACGAAAGATCTAGTCTACCAAGCTATCGGAGAAGTTATGTTTGTCTTGGCAACCAATGGAGAACTAACAAAAAGTGAACGATTAGCTTATATCAGTTGCGTGCAAAGCCCATTCATATTCTTCCCTAATTGGTTCAATTTCTTATTGAATGGTCATCATTTCGAACGGAAAAATCTACGCAATTATTACACACTGCTTCGTGCATTTTTGCGCTATGAAAATGGATTGGCTTTACAAGCAGCTTTTATGGCAGCTGAAAAGAAGAAGTCGCGCGAAGAAGTCTTGAAATTTATCACCGTTGTTTTTTGTGTGGCTGGAAGTCCGGCACCAGCGAAACTAGCAGTGACTGTCATCGATCGATTGTGGGCAGACAAGGAAAAAAATGTTCCGTTATTCAAGAAAAACCCTCACAATGTTATAAAAGAATGCGCTCGACTGGATAAAGCTGTTCCGACAGTGAATATCCTGGCAACAGATGAAATCGTTAGTGAAGTTGAAAAATCTTTTGAAAGTAAGATCCAAATTCCTGAGAATACGCCAATTCATTGTTCAATTGTCAATGCCAATCGTGACAAAACGGTTTTTGAAAATCCTGATGAGTTTCTACCAGATCGTTTGGATTTGAACAAAATCCTTGTTTGGAACGGTGTTGAAGAGGATATCATCAATCCGGATCAGAGCAAACGACCCATTCGATACTGTCCCGGACATGATTTATCTCTCGATATTGTCCAATATGTCGCCGAGCGATTTTCACCAGTTACTGACGACATCGACGAAGATAATACCAACAACAAAAACGAACAAGATTTGATCGTCTTCGAACAAAAGATCCGAAAATTGACTCCAATCGAAGAAAGTCATTGCTGGAATGTGTTAGACACATACACAAAAGTTGTTCGACTATTAATGACAATCGTTATTAACGAATCCAATTTATTTCCATCACGTGCTATTGATATAGCGCCACCCATGCATTTACCCATAAAGAATTTCAGTATCTTTCGTATCGACATGGCAAAATTCATCCCGTCCTGGGACGAAGATAAACCGAATGGTTCACGACCGTTGAGAAGGTTCGCTCGTTGGTTAGTTAACAGTAACATTTGGGATTTTTATGATTGTCTAGCGGGATTCGATACATTAGCGCAAGGACTGGCATGGCGCTCACAAATTTTCCCTTCATTACCTTTGCCAAATATTGTCTACACCGACATGTTTTCAGATGAAGCGATGGGTCGCTTGGCATTCTTCGGTTGTGCATGTCATTATACTCAACGGATTGACAAATCTGAGCATCCATCTTTACAAAACGCTGTCTATGTTAATGACATGACTGTGTTATCGATCTTCCGTGTTCGAAAACCATTCGAACGATACGGTGCAGCAGCATATTTCGATGGCGATTTTCAATTGATTGCCATCTACTGGTGTCATGCCAATCGATTAGTTAGAAAAGATGATCAATTCTGGGAGCATGCTAAATATGTTTGGCGTTCATCATTCTTCGCTTACGTAACGATACACGATCATTTAATTGTTACACATATGATCGAATGCAATGCATTGGTCACTGCCACACGAAAATATTTGACCAATGGTCATCCACTACGATTATTTCTCCAACCATTTACATATCACACGGTTTCAGTTAATTACCAAGCTGCTATTTCATTAGTCAATCGGCGCGGTCTCGTTCATCGCGTATGGGCATTTGATTACGATGAATTTTTGAAAGTATGTGACTATATCTCTATGACTTACAAATTTCGTTTACTACCTGAATATATTCCTTCGTCCATGTCTCCAGAAAACAACTCGAAAACCAAAGAACAATGGGACAAAGTTTATCCAATCTATTCCGATTTGAATCATTTTTGGAAGGGCATTCATAAATATGTTGAAAACTTCTTTCATATAACTTTTAACGTGCAAGACGATGACAAATTACCGGTGGATGCGCGTATGACGGAGTTTATTAATGAATTATGCAAACAACTAGGCATACCTGGCATTGTCTCATTAAAACGATTTATTGATGTTTTAGCACATCTCATCGTCAGTGGTACGGGTATGCACGAACATGTCGGACAAATTAGTGATTACGTCATTGATCCAAGATTTATCGGAGCAAAATTAGAAGAAGGAAAGGAAATTCAAAATATCCAGACATACACTCAAATACTGATTTTAACAGTTGTTACCGGTGTGCGTATGCCTGGCTTGTTAGAAGACTGGAGTCATTTGATTGAACGTAATCAGTACTATGAGAAGAATTTAGTGAATTATGAAAATTTCAAAAATGAATTGAAAAACTTATCTCAAGATATCGATCATCGGAATAAAACAAGAAAATATCCGTTTGAATCATTTAATCCAAAATTTATCGAGTGTTCAGCGTCTGTTTGAATCTTTTTTTTCTCAATAAATATTCATCGACGACATCTATGAACAACAATCTTTTTATTAAAAAAAAAGAGAACGTGTAGCTGAAACTCTTTGAGAAAATTTCACGGTACGGCCAATAGAAAATTGCGTCGTTCTGCAAACGAGAATACATTCGTCACAATAACAAATACTGAATAACATTTTGAGAAGAATCGCATCGAATCCGTTCAAAACAACTATTTTCTACTTAGCAACGTTGAAATAAAACTGAATGATCAATGAAATGAAATGAAATGCATGAGTAATAACTCGTTCTCTTTCTTATATGGTAACCATGATGTCGCATTTTATCGATCTACCTGTATATACTATTTACATTACTGTTTTCACTTGCATTTAATCTAATCGTTTAAAATAAATTACAGCGTTTGTCCTTATCTGTGAAGGTAAAGACCATATTCTTAGTTAAATAATTCACTCTATTTCACGTTTTACGATGTCCCTGTCATTCAATATTCTGTAAGTAATAAAATTTCTTCTCTACTTAGAAAATCTTTTATTTATTTTTCAGTTATTCACGTCTACTTGTTCGTCATCATTGGCTTGTCCTTAGTTTCGTAGTATTCAGTTGTATAACATTAACAGTCATTGCGTTTGTGTTTACAAAGTTACCTGACTTATCTGATCCACGAATAGGATGGGGAGCACGTGGAAAAGGAACGATATTCTCTCAATTGATGGTGTTACGTCATGCAGCGGAAAGGTTTCGCCAGGCTTACGAAATACCATCAGAAGAAAGTACGTTATTTGGTGCATTCGAACAATATCTAAATGTATCTGTTGATGATCTGGATGAGAATACATATCGTTATGATGTTCTTGAAAAAAGTGATCTATGGAAGAAGAAAAATTCCGATTACGAAATTATTGATTATCATAATTTAAACGATTCTTTCTACGATCTTGCAACGTATGATGACGACGAGGACTATATTGATGAGGTCGATAAACCAGAATCAACATTACTCTATCAATACCATCGCGATCGACATTTCGATACGGAAACTTTGATAACAAAATTTGTTGATAACAAACTGTAACGTGTTAACAAACTTTTCAGATACATTCATATCTTTTTCTGTTATTTAGGATCAATATAACTGTATTAGATTTTGTTCGAAATCTTCCACAATTCAATAGAACGAATTATAAATCAGCACGACTATCATTTGATCTTTTTCGACCGTACGCATTTCTCCTCGAGCATAAATACCGTGGTCCGTCAGGTAAACAAAACGATTTATTAGATACTTCATCTTCCCATGAGAAATACACAAGCATGACCTTTTTCGACTAAAAGGACGAATACGAGTAACTTAAGTGTGTAACCTACTCCTAGTTGTTTATTATACGAAGAGTATGTTAACTGTCGTACGAAACGAACGTCGTAAAATGTAACGATCGAAATGAGATTATAAACTTGTTTACACAGTTTTCGAGAGAAAAGTACGAGTACGAATGCTTCGAGTATCTTTTTCCTCATAGAGAATCTATCACTATTATAGAAAATAACTCAGTCAGACTTTTTTTTTTCTTTCTCGTCTTACTGACGTTGTGTATTTGTTATGACAACAACAACACGACCGAGAGAAGTCGAGTCGCACGCGTTTCAAGGAGAAAGAAAAAAAAAGAGTTGAATATTTTAGGTCGCGATGGCATGATCGAGTTTTATATCGAACGTTTGAGTTCTACCGATGACTTACTCTCACTCAATCATCTACTTTCTATATGTAAATGGGAAAAAGAATTCAAAAATATTCTTGCATTAAGTCACGTACCGAGTCTATCGTTAGCGACATTTGTTGCATTATACTCATCAAAAACTAATTGCGAATCGATCACATCCGATGATGTGGATCGTTTCCGTTCGATACTTCATACATGTTTACCATACTATCTCGATGGTTACATGGACATTCCCTTGAGTGATCAATTCTTCAATCGAGTTCAAATTAAGCACGAATCTGCTGATTGGACATATCAAGAGCAATTGAAAGCGATTTATGCCGCTTTGCGTCATACGTGTTTCTATAAGAACATCACACGTTTTGTTTTTGATCATTTTCTCGATAAGAATTTCATCAACGATTTTCAACAATCCAAAACAAATGCGAAAGTCTCGCTCTCAATGATATTCGTATCGAATTATAAAACTATGAAATACAATCGAACGCGTGATCAAACCATGTGTCGAAAACGACAACCATACGCTACAAAATACTGTCTACAACGTGGCTGTATGGATGATTTAAATGATAAAACGATTGCAAAATCATGTGCTAACCAAGCGCCCCCATCAGGAAATTGTGACAAATATTGTATATGCAAAAATCAATGTATAAATCAAACTGAACAAATGATTCTGATGACGCCGATTTTGAAAGGAGAAGATTTAATTGAAATCTATCAGAAATATTTCGATGGTAAACGACAATTTTCCACATATGAAAATCAGTACCTCAAACTGATCGCAGTGAATTTCGCTTATGTGAGAGAAAAGGCAGCGATGGCGCAAGTATACAAAGGTAACGTGAAAATTGTTTCGGTAATCGATTGATTTATCTTTTTCAGACACACTTCTTGCTATGATTGCTGCCGGATTAATTATTATGATAACAGTTCTCTATCTACGTAGTATAACCATAGCTTTTATGATCATTCTTGGCACGACATTAGCATTGGGTGTAAGTTATTTTGTCTATCGCGTGATATATGGCATTCCAATATTTCCGACGATGAGTTTCATGTCGGTGTTTATCTTAATTGGAATTGGTTGTGATGATATTTTTGTATTTTTTGACACGTGGCATCATGAAAAAGCGGAATTGTTGAGAAAGCGTCATGAGAAGCTACAAACTGATAGTAAAATCGGCCTTTTGATTTGAACTTCAGTCGATCGTTTTGATTTATTTAGATACGAATGTTCCGTTGAATGATCTGAATACCAATGAAGAACTCAAGACGAATATTGTTGAATATTTTGATGATTCTCTTGGCGAAGAAGCATTGATTGAAATCATGTCAAGGACACTGAAACATGCTGCTTCATCGATGTTTGTCACATCGTTCACAACGTCCGCTGCCTTCTTTACGAATATGTTAACAAATATTTCATTTATTCAAGTCTTCGGAGTGTTTACTGGAACATCAATCCTAGTTTATTTTCTGATAACAATCACTGGCATCGCTGCTTTCGCTGTTAGTTGAAATCTTTTCGAGAGAATGATGATTTTTGTTTTTCTTCAAGGTTATTTATGAAAAATACATACATAACATGGCGTGTTGTACCAGTTGGATAAAGATTCCCATAGCAGATATATGTCAACGTTTTCGAATTTATATATTTAATAACATTCTCCCAATGATTATTATCAAATTACGTTATTTTCTCGTTTTATTCTTTCTATGTTTGGGAATCTTAGGTAATCGAAGACATCCACCTGTTTTCATTGAAATCATCGTATCTATCTCTAGGTTTGGTCGGTGTTTTTTATTATCCGAAATTGCATGTACCATCTACTCCGAAAGTGATGTTTTTCGGTAAAACTCATCCGATGGAGATCTATGAATTCCAAATGAAACGTCAATTTCACGGTTATATCAAACAAGACAATCGTTTCTTTGCTTACCCACCGATTTCCTTCGTTTTCGGAATTCGAGATATTGATGATGGATATATATTCGATATGAATGATCGGGGTCGACTTCATCTAATGCCAATCGATTTGCATCGACAAGTCACATTGGACTTTTTTAAGCAGTTTATCAGAGATCTGGGAACGCGAAAAGATTTGTTTATTTCGAATTACAACTTAGAGAAAGATTTCGATGGATTTTATAAGGTAGGTTTCGACTTATTGTTTAATTTTGTCTACATCGATTGTCGTTTAGCTGAGTACGGAAAACATTTTTAAAGGAAAACTCGTTCAAGACCGAGTGAAAGCTAATTTCTCGAAAACGAATCACTTCGAGATGATTAGATATTTACGAACAACAAACAAAAGTTTGATCGAAGAACTTCTTTCGAAAAGTATGCAGTCAAACTCGACGTTGCACCAAATCAGCATGACACAATTAACTCAGTCGCCAAATCCAATCATTGTCTATGCAAACTACCGGAAAACTTTCAATAAAACATTGGAGAAAATTTATAAACAACAAGTATGTTGACGAAAACCCGGTTCGATCTTACGAGAAATGTGTCATTTCAGGTTGAACACAATGCAATTTTGAGTACTTTCAACGAAACCATACGTGACGCAATGATAGAAGTGCATCAACTTTCAGCATTGAAGACCGGAATGCAGTGCATAACAGGAACAGCTGGAGAGAACAATCTTCCAATGGAATTTTGCGAAAAACAATTGAAAAAACAACGGTCACGGAATTGGGTGGTTTTACTTCACAAACCATCGCCTATCGATGGTAGTGTTCGACCATTTGCTGTTTTAATTACTATTCAAGGTACTCTCAACCGCACGAATTACAATTCGTACGATGTCTATTATCGCAAGGTCAAAGACTTTTTTGATTCATATATGAAGCAGCATGCACCGGAACATCTCAAACACGGCTGGTTTTCTTCGGCATCGTTTGCGTTCTACGGTATTCAACGCGAAACTGTCGTTGGATCATTTTCTTCCCTCATTGCATCACTGGGCATCGCTTTACTGATTCTGTTTCTAACATCAGGAAATCTGTTTATTGCAATCTACGCGCTGCTTACAATGACTTTTTCTATAAGTAAATCTACCTGTCTTCCTTTTCGTCTCGAAGAAAATTTCATTGATTCTTTTTAGCTGCGACAATTACTATCTTTGCTTTCTTGAAATGGGAATTGGGCATTGTCGAAGCAATTGTGATAATCATGTCCGTTGGTTTATCCGTTGATTTCGTTGTTCATTTTGGCGTTGGTTATATTCACGCTGATCCGAGTACAATTGAACGTGAAAGGAAAAAAGCGAGGAATCGATATTCATCAACAACGTCAGAATCACACGGTTTCGGTTCGATATGGAAAGAGCATCACGCTGAACGGGAGGTACGTGTTAGAGAATCAGTCTCTCGCGTCGGTTCAGCGGTGTTTATGGCAGCTTTTACAACGTTTGCCGCTGGATTTTCGATGGTACACGCGTCACTGACTGCATACGGACAAATGGGACAATTTTTGATGACGATAAGTATGTGAATGAAATCTGAGGTAACTATTTATTTGATTTAATTGTTTCTAGTGTTGTCATCATGGATTTTTGCCATGTTTTTCTTCTTACCATTGTGTGCGATCCTTGGTCCTGTTGGCGGATGCGGTTCAATTCCATTTTCGCGAATTGCTTTGTGTTTTAAGCAGCTTATACATCGAAATTGAATCTACTGAGTGCTCAAGTCATTTATTTATTACTTGTTTTTTTTAGACGAATTTCTTTGTTAATTTAAAAAATTTGTATTTAAAGAAGTATTCAAGCGCAGTCTGTGATCATAGGAATCGGTTTGAACGTATCAGCAAAATATTTTTGTGATGCATTGAATTGGTTTGCGTTTTATAAATTATTTGACTGGAATGGAAGAAAAAGTAAAGAACACTTTCGCGAGGATTTCTGAAATATATTCTATTCGTATCATTCGTTTTGTATCAACTCTTAAATAATAAAAATTTGTACATGAGCAAATAATTGAAATACAATCAATGAGAAACACAGTTGTGAATGTCAATCCCACATAAGGTAGAACCAAACATTATATCATCTACTTGTGTCCTTCATTTTGACGTGTCTCACTTTAGCATCAGGTACTCGCACTATCTTTCTCGTATGTTTGGCAAATGATCATGAAAAGTACCACGAAACGAAGATAAATAAAGGTATTAAACTAAATCTCTCTCATAACATATTTCAGGATTAAGCAACATCAAGTTGCATTCATTATCAATCAAATAAACGAATATTTCTATACCGCCAATAAAAAGAACAGATAATCACACACAAAAACATTCCGAGTTCGATCGCTCACCAAACTTATGTCAAAAAAAACTGTCCACTAAGCTGGTATCGGCACAATCGATAAAAGAAAAGTTGTAACCAGTGGCATAAGCGAATCTCAATTAGTTTCAGTTCTATTTAAGCTCGTTGACATATTTTATGCAGTTTCTTCTTGATATCTCTCAATGCTGCGTGAAATTCATCTATGTAAAATTTCGATGGTAGTATAAAAACGATGAATGTTAACATCGACGGAACAAATGACAGAAAATATCCTATAAGATGTATCCATGGTCGACGTGCTGATCTCATGCATCCACTTAGAAACGAGATAACTACTCTCGGTAAACTTAATATAATTAATAAGCATGGTGCGATTAATATATGTCGATGTTGATCAAATTGAGCTTTGATATGTTGTCTATAGGATTGATCGTGTTGAACAGCTGCTCGACTTCGAGCTAAGCTTATAATTAACCAAATAGCGGAAAGAATATTAATTCCAAACGGCATTAAAACATGAAATATTGTTATGAATGAGTTATAAATAGTCATCGAATTTGAATACTGGGCTAAACACCAAGTTCTTAGCTGATCAATATCCGTGTCGTCAGCTAAATCACGATGAACAGGATCATGAATATGTGTTGAAACAATCAGTATAAATACGCCTATCAATACCCATTTCGACATTGTTTTACTCTTTGTTTTGTTGAAACTACTACTCAGTTTCACACTGATTGCTCGTTCAATTGCGACACAAGCATTTAGCCATTCGTTCATTGCCAAGAAAACTTTTAGCAGAAAATCGAGTAAGATACAATGAATACGAAGAGTCGTTCGATCGTTTCCTCTTGAAATTTGAGAGACAATCAAAAACCAAAACTTATATATTAGAACAGTGACCATCATTATTGACCCAATCGATGAAACCAAAAGATAATTACCAGTTCCTATTTGTCTTGGTTTTTCTCGCCCAAATGTTATCATTGATAAGCATCCGTTACTAATCCCAATGATACACATAATCGTTACGATCGCGAGACTAATTTGAATAATTAATGGCTGTCTATGAACAGAAACATTCGGCTGAATATGATATCCAAGTATGGGATCAAATGAAAACATATAACTTGAAGTCGAATATTGACATCGTTGACCATAAAAGCAGTCTTGACAGATACAAAAGAAGTCCTTTGGGCATAAATTGCGATCTTGAAAGCATTGACCACCATTTTCACAAATACTACGACCATCGCAATCATTGTTTTCTGTTTTGTTAAGAGCAAAACAACTCGAAAAACGATCAAGATCGCAAATACACATTAAACTTTCACTATCGTCATAAAAGCATTTCATTTGAAGATGTTCTCGGCATAACAATGGATAAAACTTCACTCGTCGAAGAGGTGCGTATTGTAAAAATGTATCATTAAGAAGTTCTCTTATATGAGGACAACGATTTTCCGCTTGAATTTCTACAGAAATGCTTTCCAAAGGTATATGAGTCTCACGAAGAACTCCTAAATAATAATGATAATGAGGTATTTTAATAAAAAGGACATTGAACTGTATTGGTACATGAAAAGCTAAACTTGTTTGACCAAAAGGAATCTTTTTCAATAAAATATATCGATCATGTAAAGAATATTCATTCGCTTTAATTGTATCGATGTAGACAAATGAAGTTTCATACTTAAGCATCTCGTTCAAACGAATGACAATCCGTGTATTTCCATCTTGACATCGTTCACTGATATATCCGTCTGTACATAAACAATCAAATCTGGTTAAACTTATCCGATCATCATACGGAACACAAAGTCCATTGAGTTGGCATGGATTGTCTGAGGATTGACAACTCGGATGTTTCAAGTAACAACGTGAGCCGAATTTATACAGACGACAAACACATATTGATGGACTAAGACAAATCGCATCTTTCGCGCAGTTACATTGATGGGTAATGTTACAATAAATGCCAGAGTATCCTTGATCACAACGACAGAAAAATGACGAGTTTTTATTCATATAGTGCATACATTGACCATGTTTTCCGCACGGAAGAGTACATGTCATTTGTTTGTTCGATTCGCGAGAAATATGTAACTGAGCAGCAATTCGATTTACAGGTAGAAACTGGAATGGTATTGACAAATGCCAGCTACCCCAGTAAGCTAGAGCGTTTCTTTCATATAAATCAATTCGAATGGAATAATTATTCGATGAAGATTTTGGTCGTTCAGGATAAAGTAAATACACGTCATATTTATTTAAGCAGTCACGAATTGGTACATAAAAAATCTGTTCATGATATGGTGTAATAAATCCATCCTTGTCGATGAGTATAATGATAATTTGAAATATAGTAGAAGGTGGTATGATTAAGTCTCGCCGAAATTGAAGTGTTAAACTAATACGTTGATTTTGCCATTGACATCGTGAACCAAAATAATTTGCTGGACATAACCATTGTTTTGTTCTATTTAATCCTCGAAGTATAAGAATCCCACGAAAACAGTATAACTGGAATCTTCGATCACAAGTCACTGCCAAATCTTGATCTACTGAAGTAGTAATTTGCAGACTATGATTCGTTTTCGAAGTTGTTTCTAGAGATACATTCATTGATAGAGCTGGATAATAACCGAAGTGCTTGCTTGTTAGATATGCAATTGATGGTTTTTCAGTGAATCTTTTGAAAAAACACAGATGGGTGTTCGTCTCCAATTTTCTTACGTTTCTTGGAAAGGGAAGAGAAAACAGTTTTTTTCCAACCATGCAGATGTTTTCTGATGCTGCTGTCGTCCTAGAATCATATTTTACACCACAAATTGCATTATAACTGATACATTTAACAATTTGCCATGATAGGTATTGTTCTGCAATGTTCGATGTCTCATTATAAAAGTATATTTCACGACTTGCACTACTATTGTTACAATCAATGTATTTGTCGTATAGGTGTTTTCTAGATAAGCAAATCGATTCTCCATGAGGTTCAATTTGACATTCATATTCATCGAAAGAACAGGTTGAGTCGGGACAATTGAGTTCATCACTTCCATCTGCACATTCAAAGTACGAGTTACAGCGTGTGTATGGAGTCGCACAGGGCCACCAATCACAGTTTGTCTCGTCAGTTTCTAAGCCTTGAAGAAAATCAAAGATATTGATATCGACAGAATTACACAATTTTGGAAAGATATCAGATATCGGTTTCCATTGTGAAACTAACTGTTTCTCTTGAAAAGTATCAATTAATTCATCTTCATGATAATAACAATCGAATCGACCATCTCGCACACGATGTTTTGAGATACATTTCATTGATCGATTACAATGAAAATAAGACGAATTCACACACGATTTCTCAATATTCTTTTTTAAGCACGTGTCACGAATTGCAGAAAGTAGGCGAACACCATCATAGAAATGTTTCATTGTCTTTTCTCCAGTCAGACTCCAAAGGTCATAGCATGTTAATCCATTGATAGTCGTTGTAGGAGTCACATATGTGACCAGCCAGAGACATCTTGTCGGGCTCAAACACACGAAATCTGGTGTAACATTATCTTTGAACGTATCAACTGATCGATTGGTTAAGTAAACAAATTGAAAAAAATCAAGAAAAATCGGACGAGAAGGTAGCAGCAACCATGGAGACGTACAATATTTAGATAAGGGTTCACAATTTTCATTTGAGAGGTACTCTCCCGTTGAATAATATTGTATATTACTGCTTAGTCTATCTAAAGGCTTACAGTTTATATACCAGAATGCTATATTCATCAATTCGTGAGAGCCGACAGTTGATTGAAGCGTGCCTAAAGTATTTCTCAAAGAAATCCTAAACAAAAACAATCAAACTGCTTTACTTTGATCAAATGTTTGTCGAAGTCGAAGTGCGCAGTCAAGCGCTTGTTGACAATTGTTGCCTTCGATATGATTCAATGATGTGAGCATAATTCGAGTAAATTCTCTGTCTCGAAGATTGGTACAGTAAGTCTCAATAGTCGGTATTGGACGTTCATACAAAGATTGACCGTCACCACATTGAAAAATAGTGGAATAACGACTAATAACTTCTTGGCATTTAAATGTTGGATTTGACCAACAGTCAGTGTCTCCACCTATAAGCAGTATTGATAGTTTCTCGTCAGTGGTATCGAGACAATCGTGTGACCCACTGTTTTCATTTATAAATGCTAATGGAATACATTGACCACCATAGCGACATCGAAATTCGTCTTGATTACATTCAGATATTTCTAATTGTTCACACCATTGTTCATCTTCTCCATTATCGCAATCGAATAGTCCGTCACAAATCTGACGCCAGTCAAGACACATTGGCCATGGTTCTTTGTTACAATTGGGTAAAAATCGATAACATGTTCCATGAGCGACATCACTAATATTATACCGATAAATTGTAAAAGTATTCTCAATTATGTCGCGGAATGATAAAGATACATTATGATTGAATCGATATTGACAAAGCGTGCCAAACCACGGTGATGAACAATTATAAAACATTTCTGAAGTATTTCCATCTATCTCATATCTTTCTGCAACATCGATCGGCGCAAACCATGCCAATAGTTGGTTACTAGTTACACCTTGCCTTTGCAGCTCATTGAACGAAATTATTTGGGCTATATTCTCATCACTTCCATGTAGAACTTCTTCCCTTTTTTCTCTATTGTCATAGTCATCATCAGATCGAAGGCAATAAGAAGTTAAGTGAGTACTGGAAGAAAATGTTTCAGTAGTTTTTGACAGATCGTAGACAATGTGTGTATATAAACAATTATATGACAAAGAAGATGTTTTTTCGCCATCGGAATGATATAATGAATGACGCGTACTCACTGTGAAATACTGAAGTAGAATTAGTACTATGTATATGAGCAACATAGTTTTTCATTTATGACCAGTATGTTCTGCTCGGTGCTTCTACGCTGATTTTTTTTCTCACTTCCTGCGAAATACAAAACAGATGGTCGCTTTCTTCACAATTTTGTTTCACGTATTGCAGAAATCTGACGAGAGCATTTCTATGATACTTTATCTCGAAATACATTGCAATATTATGACATCTGCTAAAATAAAAGGATATTTATAAGAGATAATGATCATCGTTTCCGCTAGTTATACGTCATTCTGTTTGAATTTCAACAAATGGTTCATATTTGTATCGTTATAATCTCCATGGCATAGATGCCTATCATTCCTTCGCTTTCACGGATATTGAGATGTCCTATTGTCCACTAAATTTATGCCATTTGTCCAGAAATACTTTCCAGTAAGCTGGAGCTGGCACAATAAATATAAGAAAAGTTGTTGTCAGTGGCATCAGCGAGAGACAGTAAACAACGACGGTTAGATACAGTTGCCATGGTGATTCAATGCATTTAACAATAAGCATTGTAATGATCCAAGGAACTTTGAAAACGATCATACAACACGGACTTATAATTAGATCTTTATGTAAATAGAATTGTTTTCTAAGAACAACCGAGTATTTTGTCTTTGTATCGGCTCGTTGTCGAGTTCGTGAGAACGATACCAAGAACACAATAGCAGAAACGAAATTAATCAGAAATGGAACGGTCGTATTGAACACATTGATAACAATCGTATAGTATTGTAACCAAGGTTGTCGAAATTTGATGATGCACCATGAACGTTCGTTATTGTATGGATCATTCAGAAGATCTTGATTGAAAGGTCGATGGAGTAAAACAAGAAGTAAAACGGTAACAAGCAAAGGAATAACAATTTTCACAGCTCGAACACTCGTTCTTCGACTAAAACGAACGCCTTGAAGAGAATTACTAGTGCGCTCACAGGCGATACACGCTGTCAACCAATCACATAACGATACGAGAAACGATAGCAAAAAGTCGAATAGAGTGCAGCTGACGATAAGCCATCGTCGATTCTTAATTACGGTAATTTGGCTGATAAGTAAATGAATGAAATGTCCGGCAAGAAAGACAATTGTCACAAGAGAAACAAATGATAAAACCAGAAGATAATTACCAGAGCCCGTCTTACATATATTACTATTGATGCACGTCAGAAAACTCATTAGATTGGAAACAATACCGATGATGAACATTAGAATGGCGAAAGTAGTGAGTACCTTGAGTAATATTGACTGTTCGCTCCATGGTGCATCGGTTATTATGACACCACCAAGTAGAGAATCGAGCGTAAGGAAAAATTGCGTTGTTCTTATTTGACAAAACGTACCAGTGATACATTTCGGACACGCACAAGCGAAATTGATTTGGCCGGAACGTTTTTTCTGTAAACAACGACCATCATTTTCACAATAGTTCTTCTCCGTACAATTAGTTATCGCATGATTGAAATACAAACATTCGGGAACATGTTGTTCATCGACTAAACACATGTATATCTCATCGTAGAAACATGTGACATTTCGAAAGTATTTATGGTAGAATTTAATGCGTTTTAGCCATTCAAAATTCATTAGTGTGCTATTCAAACGTTCACTGACATGTGGACAACGATTATGAGGACTAATGGATGTTGTCAACGATGTTCGATTATCTTCCAACGATCCAACCAAGTAATATGAGCCATAAAATGAATTTGGTTCATGAATTGACTGCGCAACGATTATTGGTGATAAATATGGATAATCTTCATCATTGATTGAGACTGGTTTATTCGGCTGAACATTGCTAGAGAAATATATGTCACGATGAACTAGCATACCTGGAAGATATGTAGGTATGTAAAGGAAATGTACTATCAACACTGGAATATTACCAAGGTTGCATGTAATACTAAGGACTGAATGACTATTTCGGTTTTGACAATGAGTGCCGGAAAAGTGTTCTGGACAAAGACAGATTTGTTCTCCAGTGCGAATGTCCAAAGAAACACAAGTGCCACCGTTCTGACATTGAGTCGTATCGCAGCTGCTATGTGCCACCTGACAATGATGACCAGTTCGACCCAATGGACAAATACATAGTGCATGTTCATTGACGATTGCTGATACGGATGGCGTTCGACAATTGAGCATAGTTACTTCTCGATCACATGTCGATCCTGCCCAATTTGTAAAACATCGGCAAAAAGCGCGGTGTACATTTGAAAACATCTCACAAACACCATGTTTACACCTAAGTTCATGACATAATGCACGATCCGGAGGATGCTGTTCTGGAACCAATCGAACAGCCAGACGATTGACAGGTAAAAACGGAAATTGAACTGGAAAGAACCAGGATACTGAAGGATCGACACTATACTGCGTAACAATATAGCTATCAATTCGTAACGATAGTTTACCCAAAGATGAGCTCGACTGATTTGTTCGAGGATACGTCAGTACGATTAGATGTTTCAGCGATAAATGGATTGTCAAAGCATAAATATACGATTCTACTGCCAAAGGATTTTCTTCTTCGTCGAGTAAATAGAAAATCAGTTGATAAATTGATTTTACTTTCATTGTCGACACAATGTCCATCCTGAAGGAAACTGTTAATCGTTCACTTTGGTACTGGCATTGCGAGCCATGATAACTTGGCGGACACAAGCAATGATATTCCATGTTTGTATCGTATATAAGGATACCTCGATGGCATAACCAAAGAACACTATTGTTTGCGGTAATCATAGTTTTATTTCGATTTTTAATCAAACTAAAACGAGTAATTTCGAATTGATTTGGTATGGCGCGTTCGATTTTATATCCAAAATCACATGCCCACTCATCTTCGGCGTCAATACAATCGATTTTTCTATTACACCTACTAGTACTTGATAAACATGTACCATTCTTACAAAGGAAACCCTTACAAGATGAATTTTGTCGCCACGGACATAGAAGTTCATCGTCCCTTAGATTGCAATTGTCTAAACCATTGCAAATGTCTCGAAAACTGACAATTTCACCAACTGGCTTATGACATGGTAGAAGCGAGCCCGAATTGAGCTCATCCTCTACTTGACTCGCTAAATACCATCGCTCATCTGATGCAAAGAGACAATCAGCAGTGCCGTCACCCGCTTTAACTAACGGCAAGCAACCAACTTCACTTGAATTGTACTGAAAACAGTAATGCTCATTTTCAGAACAGTTACCGACATGTTGGGCAATGTAATTCGAAATCATGCGAGGACAATGCAATTCATCGCATCCATTTGGCCGATTCCAAACACCATTACAACGTATTGCACGTGCATTACATGGCCATTCATCACAATTAGTTTCATCTGTTTCCTTTTCGCCTTCAATTTTCTCCCTAAAAATCAAATGCCCGTTGCATAGTTCTTGATAGAAAACTGGCATCTGAACTTTTAAATCGAAATGACGTAAATATTGACAATTGAACTCATGCGTGCAACCAATGGGAAAAATCTCATCGACATCGAATAGACAATCGGAGTGATTGTCGTGCAATAATCGTCGAGGAATACATGTTGGATTCGTACTTAGAACACACTGAAACCGATTTCTCAGATTATAATTACATGAATCGATACTACTCTCATCACTTGTATGTGGAAAACAATCTGCATGACGATCGACGATGCGGTGAATAGAAATGAGTCGACCATTGGCACATTGAAACAGCGACTTGGAATTGTTAAGAGGGATCGTGTTTACATGAGAGAATATATTCTGAATGCTGACAGCTAATTGAGTGGCACGTGAGATACCAATGCCTCCCGCGTTATATTGCCATAGATAGAAAAACACCAGCGTTCGGCATTCGTAATTTAAAGAATAATTCACTATATGATGTTCAGATAAAATATACAAATTCGATGCAGAAAAATCGTACACCGAACTATTGTAACAGATAGCAATGGGTGGAGAAAAATATGCTTTGTCTCGGTTCTTCAATTTTGTGTTATTGTAAAGTAATTGAACATATGGCATGATGTAATACGGCGGTGGAAAGAAAAATAACTGTGGACACGAGAGATGAAGATTGAGGTTAGGTCGGCAATAACTTGCAGGAAAATAAATACCTTCCTGACATCTTGATTGTACATTGGGCGATTCATACAAACAAGACAAGCCGAGTAAACACCACATATGCTGCCAGCAAGTATAATTTAAATTCGTATCATTTTTAAAGCTGAATATATCTTTGATGTATAAGGAATTTCTTTGACTCTGACATTCTTCATACTCTGTTGTCTTACCAGCTTTATCAAAACCATAGTCCTGAAAACACGATCCATCACCACAGCTAAATCCGGCCAGACCACACGAATGATCGTCGCAGTCGATCGAACTCTCATTGTGACAATACTGACTATGATCATGAGTTTCTTGTTCGTCGTAAAAATCCATACAGTCCATAGTTAAATCGAATGAGAAACTTCGCGGTATGCATAAACCATTACGACATCGATATTCAGTAATTGGATCACATTCATTAAGTTCCATTTCAAGACAATTCTCTTCATCATGTCCGTTAGTACAGTCGCGTATTCCATCGCAAATTTGTCGCCAGTCAAGACATAGACTGACATACGGCGTACAATTAGACATTTGGTAGCATGTCATTTGTGCTTCTGTCAGTCGACGCACATCGAATCTTCGTTTTTTAGGGATTTCAATGTTATTTCGAATGAATGTCTGTTCGATGAGATCATCAAACGTAGGAAAGTTAAGCGCAAAACTGTATTGACATCGGACACCGAAGTATTTCTCATCCGAACAATTACAGAATATTTGTTCCGGATTCTTGCCCGTTTCTAAATAATCAGCATAGGCCGCAATAAGGTCGAGAGGCGAGTGCCAATCCAAAAGATCTGTTATATTTACTCCGGCTTGACGAAGAGCAAGAAAAGTAGAACTGGTGCCGTAACAAGGAAGAGATTTACTTTCAAATGGATCGACTGATCGAATGCAATAGGAGATGAGATGTCGACCAAGTTCGTTGCCTGTTTTCATATAGCGATACAGACAATCGTGATCACCATTATTGAGAACATTGTTCGTGTGAAACAATCGAAAAGATTCGACGAATGATATTCCATATAGAAGAACGAATAGCATTAACATGTTTCTTCCAGATATGCTTCTAACGATTGTTTCGAAAAAGAATTTATACAAAACGTGTCTGACGTCAATGAAATATTAACACTTTGTATATGTAGAGAGATTGTTGAACATGACATAAAAATTGGCACGTATCGCACTCTCTATTTGATACAGAAAAATCTGAATGAACCGGAATATTCTATTGCTTAATTATTTTCTTAAGAACACAACAAAACAGTCGCTTTTTTCTAAACTTTTGGACCTGGAACCGGTAGGGCATTTTTTGTTCAAATATCATTGAATCGTGTATCCAAAGTTCAAACATGTAATAAAGAAAATCTTGGTTTTCCCTTTTATCAAATTACAAGTGCGTGTTTGAAGGAAAATGGCATTGCTCCATATTTTACTTTTTCCGAGTCATTTTCAATGTTCAGCAGAGCACTATCACTCCGTCTGCTATCGCTGTTTGCATTATCTTTTAGCGACATCAAGAATCAAGTGAGCTTATAAAGACAACCACTACTGTTAAATCTGCGTTTGTTCATTAATCACGTCGCACAATACGAGATATGTTATCAGAATTCCTGGCACATTTTATATCAAGATTAAACTGCAAAGGATAGCACATGTTATCGAGAGTTTCAAGCGTTCATTTGGGTTGATTCATCGCTAAATTTGACATATATCCTACGAGGAAATCAAATCGAAAGAAAAACTTATCGAAATGACACTCCGATGAACTTACGCGATAGATATGAATCCTCCAGACGATTCATTTGATCTGAATATTGTTTTGTAATTGGTTCGGGATTAGCTGTTAAAGGTAATTCAATTCGTAACATTGTATGAGATGATAAATGTCCAAAACTGTGTATTTTATTATTGTAACAAGCCGTATAGATATTACATTTTATAAAAATGACTAATAACACAGAACAGATTAAATGAATAAGAAAAAATATGGTGAAGTGACACCCTCAGTCCCTTGTTGCAATTGAATACTTATTTTTGTATCCTTGACGTATGTAAAAGACACATTTGTCGTTAGAGAGGAAAAAGCTTCAGAACAATATAGTTACCCTTTTTTCTTTCTCTTCTACGAACACAAATAATATCATATTTTTTTCTTCTTCATACAGAACAGAAGGAACAAGAGAAGGAGAAGGAGAGAAAGAAGATTGATTAGTACATATGAAGTGTGTTGCACTGTTTGATTAACTTTCAAGTAGAAAAATTCTTGAATGAGTAACATTTAATCTGCACAATTCATTCCTGAAACTTTTCACTTTTTTCTTTTCGTTATTATTCATAGTTAAATGAAGCAAATAGATCGATTGATTTGCGTATTTAAATATGATTTAGGAAAGTTGTTATTGAGAAAGATGATCTTGTTCATTGCAACGTGTTTGATCGAAGAAATAAATTGAATTTTTCAATGAAAAAGAAAATGAAATATTTTATAAATTTGTCTTTTGATCTTCGTGTTTAATAATCTTTTTAATATCCGCTGATTGAACAATTCGAATGTGATTCTTTTTGAAATTTCTTAATTGAAATTTGATTGTTTTTTCATCCACACCTCGACATGCATCTTGAATAACAAAAGTTTTATAATTGAAATGTTTTGCATCTAAAGCTGTTGCAGCAACACAATAATCCAATGCTAAACCAGATATAAATACATGAGTAACATGTTTTGATTTTAATTTCTCATTTAATATTGTCATATGAAGTTTATTATTATCAGTAAATGCTGAATAACTATCAACATCTGGATCAGTACCTTTTTTTATATAAAAAATCTTTTGATTTGGAAGTGGATGAATAAGATCTTCAGCAATTTGTGCTTCAAAAGTATTTTGTACACAATGTGTTGGCCATAAGATTTGTTTTGTCCAATATTTTGGTCCTGTATATGTCACAGTGTCGCCTATTTTGTATTGTTCATAATGATCACCTAACACATATTCTTGGCGATCTTTGATATTGTCGATGAATGAAATATGATCTTTCGGATGCCAATCCATTGTATAAACGAAAACATCGAATGGAACACTTTTGATCAGTTTGTTTATGACCGGAATAACTTCTGCACCATTTTGTCGAGCTGAACTTTGATTCAATGCTAATGAACCATTAATAAAACAATATTGAACATCGACAATTAACAATGCATAAACATTTTTTGATGTTTTCTTCTCTAGAATTTTTTGATGATTAAGATTATTTATTATTTGAAAAGAAAAACATTTTTACTTATTCGTTTTTGTTCATTTCTTCTTTTTCCTTCGATGAAGAAGATACAAATAGTTGTAATGAGAAGAAATTTGAGAAATAACATTCAAATCGAATGATGATTTTTTTGTTTGTGAATATTTACAATTTTACACTAAACCAAAACTATGTGATTGATCGACAAATATTTCGATATTACTCTGTAACGATGTTAATTCATGCATAACTTATGTTTTGTTAATATGAAGAAAAGCAATTATTTTCTTTTTCTTTCGATGAAATTAATCGAACGAATTTATTTCTAAAAAATATCAAAGAAAAATTCATTTGAGACTTTGAATAGTCATTCCTGATTACACAAATGTTGAAATAGATATTATTTAGTAAGTAAATGCGTATGATACACTGAAGAGATTTAATGTGGAAATATTTCAACTTTTTTTTTGATTGGAGAATTGTAAAACTGGTGACAGATGGTACTGTAACGCAATTAAATGTTTTGTTTTCGTCACTTCCAGCAGATATTAACCGTGAGTGAGTGTTGTTTCTTTCATATACGAAGAAAACAAGTTACTTATTAACAACTCTCGTACCATCAACAGGCGAATTGTAAATGATGACAAAGGGAAAGAATAATGTAATCAGTGTATTACGTGTAGTGGAAAAGTACGTTGACTTGCCTATTTATTCATATGTATTGTATAATTTATCAAATATTTTAGAACTGAAAGTGATCATTTGGCTGTGCAGCGATTACGAGTGAAAGTCGGTATTGCTGTAGGCTTGTTGATTGTCATAGTGATTGTAACTCCAACAATGATTGTTTTATTGCGAAAGAAAAGTTCAACAATAACAGGTTTAATGAACATCACTGAATCGTTGATAACAACAGAGGCAGATATTACGACATCATCATTCATTGAAAAAGAGACAAGTGTGGTAATATCTCTTGAGAGCGCGACTATAAAAAACATCGTAATTTCGAACGGAATGATAACAAATGCGGCTAAATCAATCACATCCACAAGCATTGCAAAAAATATCACAGGTGAAAAAGTGTTATCAGAGGAGACTTTAGAATGTTTATTTTAATAATGTTTAATATTTAGCTTTCCAAATATTCAACCGAACGAATGAAGTAGTTTACGCTATTTGGAATACATCTGCAGGTGTAGGAGTAGGTCAGTACTAGCCGAGTGAACCACCTGAAGCTGCGCTAGATGGTAACTTAAGTACAGAATATACAAATCATGGCTGTGCTGATGAGCGTTTTAATATAACATCTGGCATGTACACAGGTTTCTATTTCACAATTAAAAGTGTCCCCTTTCGTCTTATGAAATTTCGTATGGGTACAAACGTCCAAGAAGCGAAGCGCGATCCGATGACAATCACGATCGAAGGTAGTAACAATGATCAATCGGAATTACTCCTTGGAAAAAGTTGGACTCCAATCTATAGTGGCTCTTCGGGTCTTACTAAAAGTCTACAAAGATCATCCTATGGCACAACACAAACTGTAGCGACTAACGTAGCGTCATTCAGAAGCTATCGTCTTATTGTTACATCAACCAGAGAGAAACACAATTCTGTTTCATACTCAGAATTTGTGATGATGGGACAATATTTAAATAACATCAACTGAATATGATGCTGAACAGATGTTTATGTTATCATATTTCTTGCTTTACTATTTTCTCATTNATAAACTACCAAGACTGGTCTTCTGATAACCTCCAGCAATTTGCTCACATGAATCACAATAAATTTGTCCATCGAGTTTTTCTTTCTTTTCAAATAAATCTAATAAATTGGATAATGTGATAGGAACGGTAGATTTATCGGGCAATGGCAGTGACAAGAACTTCATCGACTCAGTTCCTTCTCCTGTCTTTCCACAGGCATCACATGTCACTTGTGAGATGGTTTCAACATTGAACAACTTTTCGATGATAGAAGATGCTGATGTATCAGCGGCAAATTTTTTCGTCATCTCATCTTGCAGAGCATCAAGTAAAGCGATGAGAAATTCATGGGCATCATGTTGAGCATAACCAATAAACTGTGGAGCATATCTACACATCTTATGCTTTAATTCAACAACCGTATTGTAAGAACATTGTCCTGACCACATTGTTTGTACCAATCTAGCATATGATGAAATAAGATTATCTTCTCCAGACTGAACGAGCAAATTTCGAAAAAATAGTGCGAAGGGAGGTACAGCATTTAAGCATTGAAGAGCACTATTCATGTAACAGCTATTACCAAGATTCGGTAGACCACAGATTTGCGGGACGACTTGTAGTGCAGGTGGATGTTCAGCAACAAGTTTTGAACTCTCTCTATCATGCTAAACAAGATCATTTATCCAGCAATATTCTCCAATATAGAAACTGGCCATTTTTCTTTTCAATGATACTGACTCATTGGTCAATAGGAAACGATCACTTCCATTCTTGTCATTGCTACAACGGTACTGTTCGATGCTGATCGATCTTAACAGTTGTTTACATGTGTTATCAACTAGAAAATTATATTTTATACATAAGATCTTAAGCGTCTGTACCCAAGATCTTATTACAGATCTTAGCTACCAGACATTATAAATTATCTGTGCCTAAATTTCCACGATCTGTTCATTTTTCTGTGCCTGAGTTCTTGAGCAAGATCTTGCTTACAAGTTGTTCGACTAGGGAAGTGATATGAAAACCAAAAGAACGCATTTTACCGATTTACTGTAAATTTCTCGATGCACTTGTCTATTTTGATAAATTTGTACCGTGAAAATAAGAAAGAAAAACAATTTTGATTTTAATGCCAATCTGGGTCAGGTGTGTGACAGTTCTGAATTGTAGAACTGGTTACCATCGGTTTATGTGAACTGCACTAACCAACCAGTTCATCAAAAAGGAACTTTTGAAAACGAGACGCAGCAATTCTTTCTTTATTCAACTGACACCGGCTCTTTTCTGGATCAACTGACCACCCATCAGTTCAATTGCTATGATCTGAAATAAGCTACATCAGTTTCGTTATTTGAACTGTACCGGAACCGTCACACACATAATATGGGTCAATTATGATTACAACCCTGCTGATATTTTGTCCAATAAAATGATGCGTATCATGTTTTCACTATCAAACTTATTTTGTGCACCTATACTTATTATCTTTTTATTTTTTAACATCACAGCGATGAGAAAGTGTCATCGATTATCGAAATAAATTCAAACTTTTTCGACCTATAAGAATTAAACACATGTAGACACAATATAATGTAACGTGCAAAATTTTTATGCGAATATTATCTGAATTTGTTTTTTTAATTTAACAATACGCTGCAAGACATTTTGCTGTTATTTTTTGTAAATTTTATTTATAACAAATAAGAATGGGATATGAATGATTTAGGGTATATATATATAATTTTTCTTTTATCTACTAATGAATTTCTACACGCACACTTTTCCGCATTCAAAAAGAACAAGAAAATGTCAATTTTTCCATGTTGAAAGGTATATAGGTTGTCCTAAAGCTAAAATGCATATATGCGCACAGTAGTTTCAAAATTAAGACATGTTACAAAAACCGTCAGATTGAGGTATTTGCTCTTTCTTCAATAAAATTCCATAGGGTCGTACAGCTTTCTCATCAAAGACCCGTAGTGCTCTACCAGTGGATGTTACACCTTCATGCTCAGTATATCTATTTGGCTCGACGCGACACTGAAATACCATTTTGTATTTAACTGTTTTTCCGTTGTTGATTTTAACAGGATATTCAGTTGCATAACCATCTGCACCTCCTTCACAGTGTGTTGCGAGGTAGATTCCGTTTACGTCAGCAATAGCTCCCAGTTTAGCAACTGCTTGTTCTTTAAACGCGTCACGTTTGCCTTTAGAATGTGAAAATCCTTGATTAGATATGTTTTTAGCCGAATCAGCTGAAGTTCCATGATAAGCAACACACCATTCACCTGGACCATTTTTCATTCCTAACCAAACTTTATCATGAGGGTATTTATTATCAACTTTCAATGCATGACGAAACCATGGGACAGGAAAGTAGTAAGGACGACCGCCACGTCTTTCTTCAGTAAGAATATTTAGCCCATTGTAATCCCGATTATGCTTTGGATCAAAATCAGACTTTTGCAATTGTAAACATGTTAATTCCGGTTCTAATTTATATTCATAACGGTCAGGTATTACGTACTGTAAAATATCTATATCCTCTTTTGTTTGATTAAAGGACGAAGCCGCTAATGCCTTTAGTTGATCGGCTAAAGATCGCGTCTCTGTTTTTGATCGTGTAGTTATACCAAAACTAAGAGATATATTATTTTTGGATTGATCATTCTGAATTGCAAAGACGCGAATAAATTCTGGTGCACATTTAATAACATTTGCGATCGCTTTGATGAATCTCAATATAAATTCTTTAAAAGTGGTAGGATTTTTAGTAATTTCATCATAATTAATTTTAGAATCGAACCCAAATTGGAATTTAGCTGTTTCAACATCTTTTCCAGATGTTAACAAAGAATGAATACTTCCGAGATCTGCAATACCACATGCTGCACGATAATCACTATCATTGAAAGTGTATTGTGAATTGGTAAAATTCAAATTACTACCGAGTTGTTGGACAATTTGATCTAGAACAACTACAACTGTTTCTGTGTCATCGACACCACCGCAAAATGGATCTTGGATAAAGTTTAACGATTTTTCTTTTGTCATTGAACGATAAGTAGCAAGGCAATCAATTTGCTTCTTATCCATTGGTGATTTCGTATCATATGAGGGTGGCAAATGATTTTGACGTACCTGAGGAATTGGAATAGGATCAAACCAGGCCGGTATAATATCGATTTTAGCTGAACTCTTTGTCACTATTGCTTTTACTATCGGCCGCTCCTGAGCTGCAGTAGGAATGTGCATCGGTGGTATAGTTGCTTGAACTGAAGATACTGAGTTAATGGGAGCAGTTATGTTTGATTCATCTGTTTGTGTTTGTATTGATGAAGATAGTGTGGATAATTTATCAATATTTTTCGTTGAAGTTGATACTGAGTCGTCTTGAAAATCTCGATATAACTTATAAAGATAAAGAATAACGATCAATAATATAACTTCTAACAACATCATAAATGAAGAATGACGTCTAGACAAAAAAAACAATTATTTTAGTAGCGTAATAACATTACTAATGCAGAAGAATTTCTCTCTGAATCTTCCTAAGACAAATAAACAACTTTGAAAAATACTTTTTTTCCGATCTCTATTTCAACGAACGATCGGGTAATTCACTATTGGCGGAAAAATCACTTCTATATAGTTTTTTTTTCATACGAGGAGAGAAACACTTAAAAGAAAAACATTTTACTCTTTCTATTGGCTGAGAAACGAATCCATGGAGACCCAGGTCGATCAATTCCATACTCGAATCCGATGAAATCCGGATGACGGAATCGCACTGGATTCCGATGGTCTCGGATGCCATGTCGGATTTCGTCGGATCTGAAACACAGATTTTCCTGATTTTCTAAGGGTCATCATAGAGTATAGCTAAAAAGATTGCTCATAAAATTTGCAATAACCGACTGAATTTTTCCAGTCAGATTCCAATGCAATTCCGTTTCCAGGAATCCGGTCGGATCCAGCGTCGGATTTGTTGACCTGGGAATTCAGTGAGACAATTAAATCATTTATCTTCCACAACATGTGAAGACAGTCAGTAGTTGGATAATGTCACAGTATTTCGGTATGATGATAAGACTCGCTCTTGAGGGTGAGGATGGGTAAAAATTTTTTCATGATTGGAATCGATAGAGCTCATCGAGTAGTATCTGGAATAAGTGTTGGAATGGTAGCCGAAAGTGAGGAAACGAATCCGTGCTTCTTTTTCTGTAATTTTCATGTTTTTGAAGGTTTTTTTTTGCAATTTTATGAGTAGCTGCCTAATTCGACTTATAATATAAGTGACCAATTCCTAGCACCCTTAGGAATAGAAATAGATTTAGTTTTACTTATACAGATATACCCTCACCCTCAACCACACCGACACCCTCACCCACCGCGGCACCCTCAATCGAGATATATCCCCGTGTACACCCAACCTCAAGTGAGGGTGAGGGTATGTCTGTATAAGTAAAACTAAACCTATTTCTATTCCTAAACTCACAGGGGTGTGGGGGTATGTATGTATAAGTAAAACTAAATCTATTTCTATTTCTATCTAGTCATCTGTTATAGGTGTGATACAGGTATCTATTTATATTCGAATTGATACTAGCCTGTCGGGGGTCGACTTATAATATAAGTCGAATTAGGCATCTCATGAATTTTATGCACTTTTTATGGGTAAGGAAGGATATTTCCCAAAATACTTTTTTTTCGAATAGATATAATTCACGGAGTTCCACCTGGAACGAATTTGATCAGAGTTGGAATACACTCGTGTGCAAATCCTTTGAAGAAAAGGTCGAATCCGTGTCCAAGACATCTAACATCTACTACCCACTTCTCTGCTCTTTATTTGTTTGCTTGCCAATTTTTCTGCTACACAACTTCTTTGCGTTTCTTGACAACTCAGCGTCGACGCTATTCAGTCTTTTATAGCAACAACGACGGCAAGAATATTTTTTTCTAATAGAAAGAAAAGAAAAAGCGAAGTCTTCATCCCTGAAAAATATATCGTCTGCCATTGAAAACGGACGGCAACGTGATCCATGTAACTCTCAAGCGCAGAATAAATGCGTTTCTGACTGTCTAATGTTTCATCACAAGAGTAAATACGTGGAAACGCTTCGACAGACGCAATTTCATCTGCGTTTAAACGCCTTTACAAAATAACAATTATTTTTTAAACAGGTGTACAACCTTAATCAATGGAATGATGTAACTGTTTATATTATAGCGAAAGAGTTTGCACTAAATGACTATTTGTACAAATATTGGGCTAAATTCAAAGCACACGTGGACAAATCTTCGGAAGTAAATCAATATCAACAGACATTCAGTGCCTATCTCGCTGCTAAAATACCTCAAAGAATATGGTATCTCAGCATGGATTTACAAAAAAATAATAAATATCGTCTACAATTCTCCAGAAAGGGCTCGATGTTCGAAAATTGAAATAAATAACTTCTTAACTAATCATTATCCGCAATATAGGTACTTCACAAACTGTTCCTTCTGCCCAGGTCATTGCGGCTCAGACGGTTCCAGCCGGTTAAGTTTATTTTCCGACAATTTCCTAGCCGCCGGAACGATTGGCCTGGGTTTTTATGCAACTTCAATTATAAATATCTCCTGCAGCATGTTCTCTTCCTCGTAGAGAAGAGTCTTAGAAACATAAATTGTTTGCTTGCTTGCATGTCCGCAGGTTCAAAAAACATCGAAAATCGATTTTAAGCAATAGATATTTCCAGAGGTACTTCGATGCGAGGACTTCGAATCTGATGTTAGTTCTTCGAATTTTTTTAGACAAGGGGCTACTTTTTTAGAAAAAAATTTTTTCTCCAAAAATTGACTAAAGGAATTTTTGGGTTGAGAAACTCGAATCTGATGTTAGTTTGTCGAGAATTAAAAAGAATTTTTGAAACAAAGGGTCCCCATTCTCGGAAAATATATGTATAACATCGGTGTGAAGTGAAGCTAGCACCATCGAGCTAGCATCATCAAACTAAGGATTTTCTGAAAACGAATTCCGGTCGATAAAACCGAGTGTATTCGATGCAAAATTTAATTCTGAGTCCAATGGTGACATTTTTATTCGCCGGAAAACGTTCGGTATAGAGCTTACCTTGATTCTTATTTTTTCGCATATATATACAAATTTTTTTTTTAATTCGAAAAACTTTTTTCCGAACGTTTTCCGGCGAATAAAAGTGGCACCAGTCGATGCAGAATCAAATTCTGCGTCGAATAGACTCTTTTCCATGAACCGGAATTCGTTCTGGACAGAGATATTGCGTGCCGACGGCCGAAAAATGATGCATAGACATGTATCGAGGATAAAGAAAGATCAAAGAAAATTTTTCTCCGAACGTTTTCCGGTGAATAAAAATGTCACCATTGGACTCAGAATTAAATTTTGCATCCAATACACTCGGTTTTATCGACCGGAATTCGTTTTCAGAAAATCCTTAGTTTGATGATGCTAGCTCGATGGTGCTAGCTCGATGGTGCTAGCTTCACACCGATCTTCTTTTCTCGTCTTTCTTTAATAGTAAACCTAGTTTAAGGAAACAAAATAAAAATTGATGTTTAAAACAATAACAATTTTTACATGGAGAGGAGTACGCTCTGTATAATAAACAACACAGAATAGATAACAAGGTTTGTTAGCTCAATGCGATCGAGTTAATTTTTCGTTTAAAACAAGCAGAATTGGAAGGAGAAAGATCGAGACGTTTAGCAAGGTTTTTATAATTTATTTAACATTTGGAATTATAATGTCTTCAGATTCATGTTGATGACGATGTTCACGATTAAGTTTCGACATGGCATCATTCATATCGAAACACCTAAAACATTGCGTCAACCCTTTAGAACTTAAGTGAAGGAAATGATATTATTGAAAAAAGATTTATTTAACACATCTGAAATAAGAAAAGCCAAGTAAACGATGATAATCAAAATCTTAGTAGTGTAGTCGTATGCTTGTAATATAAAACAGATTTACGTAATTCCAATAATATTATACTCCAACTCAAATTAAAAGATCAATGTCATAAAATACGTTGGACACTCAAATACCACAGAATATATAGAGAGTAGTGTTCTTGGTATTACCCTGTATACTACGAAATTTCTTTGAGAACTTAGTTTTATTACAGTAACGATGCTATATAGTAGAGCTAAGCATGGATGTAACGGTAAAAGGATTTAACTGACAACCTCAAATCATCTTTGATCGTTACAAACTGTCGCCAAGAATGACAACTGTTTAAATTGTTAACAAATAACGTGTATTATCATTCGTGTCGATGAATTTATCAAAAAACCATCTTTCTACAGTGTAAATTTATCAGATGAAGGAATTCTTTTATCTTTTCATTCGTATTCTTCGCGCACATGGCAAAGTAACATTTCATTTAGAAAAAAATCTGTCTCAATGAGTTCTAACAAATTTGAAATTATATTCAAGGAAGGAAGAGGACGATACATGATCGCTAATGAAGAGCTATCACAAGAGGATATTGCATTCGTATGGAAACCGTACGTTCTTGTTCCATATGTAACCTACAAAGACCAAGTGTGTGCAAATTGTATGCTAATATCGATGAAAGCGAAACATGAGTGTCGAAACAATTGTCATCGTGCGTATTACTGTTCAAGGTATTGCGAAGAACAACACTGGAATGAGTATCATCAATATGAATGTTCATTTCTGGAGAAAATCTTTCAGCTAGAAAAGCTTGGTTACAACGATGAGGTGGTGAATTATGCTCGATTAGTCATGCGAATTCTAACGAGACGATTCAAAGATCTTTCACAAAAATCGAATCACATGTCATTTGATGAAGTTTGGTTATCATCGTCGCACGCCGGCAAGTTTTCAAAGGAAAAGGCAAAGGAATTCGAATGCATCGCAAAACTGTTAACAGAATACATTTTAACGACGCTTGTTTATGAAAAATCGAACGATTTCATTGAAGTATTTCTTCCTGCTAGTGAAGACACGGCAAAGGTTCATATAGATGATTTCGATCAATGGTTTGATGACAGAATTCAATCAAATGAACGAAACGCAACGAAGGTGTTATTAGAAAAAGTATTTATTCTCGTTTGCATCGAAGAGGTCAACGCTTTATTTCACATTACATTTAAATTGGATGGATATGCTGCACCGCCACAAACTTACGCCATGGGAATCTATCCATCAGCTGCATTTGTCAATCATTCATGTTCACCGAATTTAGCACGTTTTCCTGTTCAAGATGATCGAAATGATTTTCACGTCGGTGACGTCGTGTATTTCGCCACTCGCTCAATAAAACCAGGCGACGAAGTTTGTTACAGTTATTTAGAAAGAGACACGACACTTTCTGACAATTCACAAGAAATTATTCAGAACCAATTGAAAAGAAAACAAAAACTAAAGGAAGAGTTTTTCTTCGACTGCGAGTGCATACGATGTCGAAATGAATCTAATGGAAATAGTGATTTGTCCTATGAAACCTTAATTGAGCAACTAAAATGTAAAAGATTAGAATGCAAAGGTTGGTTTATTCCAACTATGAATGGGAAGCAAATGATTTGTGAAGCATGTCAAATGCTACGATAGGAGTTTGTTTTGATATCGTCAGAAAAGAAACGTTCTAGTTGTAAAGCTTCATAATGGTACCTGATATTATTCATTTTGTTACCTTAAATCAATAATTTATCCTCTCCTAGATTCAAATAAATATCGTAACTGTGTAATAGTCAATGGCAAAAATATAGAAACCTTATGAATGAAGTTGGAAAAAAAACTCAAGTTTTGCATTTCTTCAACTTTCCTGTTTTTCCTTTTTCTCATAGACATCTAAACATCATCTTAAATACGAGTGTTACATATTTTCCCTTCTCTTTATGTCGTGTGTTACTCATCGCTGTAGGTAAGTTTAGAAAACATGTCTCTTCAAGACAAACCAATTGATGATAAACCATCGAACGAGAGACGAGAACCACCAAGAATAAGAATCAATCGTGAACAAATCGCTCTTATTCTACTTCATCGTCAAATTAATCCGTCGCAATCTATTGCTGATGACAATGATATTCGTCCAATCGAGAAGATTTTACGTCAATTAACTGATAATTTACATTTATTTTCCAACAACAATGACTGCCTTTCCTACGCTGAAAAGGCCAAAGATCAAACAATATTTATAATCATCGATAGCTCGTATGCATCAGCGGATTTCTTGGGAAAACTTCACACCATGCAGCAAATAAATTCAATTTCTATTTTCTGTCAAACCAAGGATACGCCCCTTCCGGTCTTGTCTGCCACAGACTATTGTAAAATAGTAAATGTGTCCGATGAACAAGATAATTTAACCTCGAGTGTTGAACACATCACTGATTATATTGATAATCAATCAACCATATTTACTGTATGCGACCAAGACAAGCAGATGTCGACTCGTGATGTCGACCAAGAATCGGGAATGTTTATTTTCTTTCAACTAGTGAAAAAGGTTATTAAAAAAATGCTACCAAACGAAGATGCCGTACGCAAGAGTAAGGAAGAAATGATTAACAAATGTCGTCTTGATTGCAAAGATAGCACAAAGGATCTTGAGAATATCATCAGATTTGAAAATGAATATACTGCCGATCAAGCGATTCAATGGTATACGAAAGACTGCTTTATTTACAAGCTTATCAACAAAGCTTTACGAACCGAAGACATTGAACCCTTGTATACGTACCGTTTTTATATAAATGATCTTAGTGCATGCTTAGTCGAGCGTTGTAAACTTCTACGAGAAAAGACGGCAAAAATTACGGTTTATCGCGGCGCAAAGATATTCAAAGCTGAAATCGATCGACTCGAGCAGAATAAAGGACATTTAATTTCGACGAAGGGATATTTTTCAACGAGCTGGAAAAGAGCAGTAGCGGAAATTTTTGCAGGCGTTGAAGGAAATAATCGATCCCATTCCGATCAATATCAGTCCATTCTATTTGAAATCAGCGTGGATTTAGAGAAATATCCTGAAATCGTCCTTGCGGATATCCAGAATATTAGTTTACACAAAGATGAAGAAGAAGTACTCTTTGATCTGGATACGGTATTCAAACTTGAATCCATTACATATAACGATACTTTATCGTATTGGACATGTTTGATGTCGGCAAGTAACGAAGGTCGTATTATTGTCAGACAATATCTTGATTTTAAAGAAAAAGAACTAGACAATTCGGATGACAATGAAGTTGCATTCGGCAATCTTTTGTTTGACATGGGCCAGTGGTCTAAATCCCGAACATATTTCGAGAATCTTGCNCGTATTTTTGTACAAAATAGTAATCAGCGAGACGTCGCCAAATGTCAATATCTCATCGGATTGAGCCATCTGTCACTTAATGATATCGAACAGGCAACCACTGCATTGGAACAAGCACTGCATATGCGAACAAACGCTTTGCATCCTGATCATCCTGATTTAGCTTTCAGTCATCGGTCCATGGGCGATTTATACATGTGTAAGAAGAATGAAGTCAAAGCTATCGAACACTTCAAGTTGGCGCTGGCAATTTGGGAGAAACGTCTGCCTTCCGATCACGATCAGTTAGTAGATCTGAAAGATATATTGGCACACTTTAAACCATAATCACGCGAACACTTCGTCAAAAACAAAGAGGAGTCGCAGTCATATTACTATTTATCTAGTATATTGTAATCTCGAATTCTGCTAGGTTGTATAAAATCACGAAATATACTCGTATATCATTAAGTACATAGTCGATATTTAGATGTCGCTATATAGCAATCAACCTTTTCTTTCAATAGCACATATTCTACACATTGTCAAGAAAGAAAAAAAACGTTTTGGCTGATGAAAGTGGGCAATCAACGTTCTCGTATTTTTCTCGTGCACAAATCGTGCTTTACCGAGGAAGAAACAGAACAACACATTATGATTTTTATGAATATTCTCGGTATGAATCTATATTTTAGATTAAACAATACAGCTTTCAGCTACACTCTATGCATGCCGTAATAAAGCGAAACATTCCTCTCTGTTGGTATCATGTTGATCAGATTGTGATTTATTTCATGAATCGATGTAGTTCAACGATCACACGACGACTCATGCATTCCGCTAGTTTTAACTGTCACTACATCCCGTGGAAGATTACAGCATATGACCGATGTCTGCTTTCACCGAAAGCGCAAGGTAAGACGTAGACTTCGGTAGAAACAGTATACTGTTGGTTTTAGTGCAAAAAAAGTAACTCGTATTGCGCTGTATGCTATCATATATTTCTTTTCGTTTTATAAACCAACAATAAATCGTAAAGAAATGAAGAGTATTCTTTGTGTTACATACGATTAGCATATACGCTGTTGTTTTTCTTTTCGTCTTGCATCTCGTGCTGGGATCGAACAGACGAAAATGGCAAGAAGAACACGAGTGAAAGAGTTTTCTTCAGTGTACTTAGATTTAATGTAAATGTAAAATAATCCAACACACATGTTCTCACCGTTCGAAACTATTCTTCTGTCAATATCATTGTAATTGTTAATCTTTAGAACAAATACGTTCGATGTCGTCGCAGTGCGATTCGAAAGACAAAAAAGACAATGAAAATCAATGTGAACAACAAAACCTACAATTACTTAAATTAACTGCTGAAACAGATCCCATTCTTCATAGTCCAATAGAAGAGATGCGTCTAGAGGATATCCGTAGTCCCGAGACAAAACAAATCGTGGCAAATATGATTTATTCTATTCGAGCAAAACAGCTGGAACGTGCGAACGCTCCATTTACTAAGGCGGCTGGTATGGCTGCGAATCAGTGGGGCATAAACAAGCGAATATTTTTATTTTGCCCCAAGGGAAATGATGGAGAGGCAAAAGTTGTATTTAATCCAACGTACAAGCCAATTTCGCCGAATCAAGTATCAACAGATCCAACGAAAACAAAATCAGAAGATCAGTTTACAAACCTATATCGAGAAGCATGCTTCAGCGTTCCACAAGCATATGGGATCGTCGAACGCTACACAAATATTGCAATCAGTTATGTTGATATCAATGGTGTGCAGCATACGGATGAGCAGTTATCCGGTTGGAAAGCTAGAGTATGGCAACATGAAACAGATCATTTAGATGGAGTGTTGTACTCAAACAGACAATCGGGAATTAAATATGGCCCGAACTGTACAGAATTTCATAGGTTTCAAACGAAATCCGAATTCGATGAAAGTTACCCGAAATAGCGAAATACAATCTGCTTAAGAAAATAAAAATAAAAATAAAAATATAAAGCTAGCCGATAGATTTCTTCAACTTGTATTGTTATTTATAAATGAGGTACAACATGTCCAAATGTCTAATGAACAATTTTAATTGCTCGATTACAATCACAATTTAACGAGAAAAACAGTCGAAGAGTAGTAACTATAAACACTATTTTCATTCTCGTCTTGAGATTGCCGATTGTACTCAGAAAAGTGTACGTAAGTATATTCATTCTCGTACTAGTTTTTAAAATGAAACAAAATGCACATCGTACCGTCTAAAAGCAATTGTATGGATAATTGAATAGAATAGACTACGGACTGCATCCAAATAGCGCAATATAAATTGCAATTTAACCAGTCATAAAGTGTGGCTATATTTAGACGCTAAATCAATACTTTGGACAGTACTTTTTTTCTTTTACAATACACGTTATCATCGCGCGATAAATGACAATATAACAGAAAAGCACTTGGTTCAAGGACGATTTTTATGATGATTATACGATCTCAGTCTCATATGGATGCATACTTTCGCTTACTAAACAAAATATTTATTGTCTTCACTGAGATATAAAGCCATTGGGCATTAGGATTAAACACTAGACAAACTCCTTCACGTCTACCATCGACCATGGTGTTGAACACTTGGTTTCTGGATCATTTATACAATTTGGATACTATAATCAGAATTGGATGGTTGGCATTAATATTTGCACCGTTCAACAAGATTTCGAAGTATTGCATTATTTTACCGACTTTACTGTTCTCTGTTGAATGCATCCTGGTGCTACTCTTTGGAGACTCACCAATGCTCAATTGGATTTCGCTCAAAGATCTACTCATGGCTATCATCGTTCAACGAAAGCAGTTTTATCTGATGGATTTATGGATTGCTCAATGGATGGTTTATAATTTCTATGCAGGATGCGGCAAAACAGCATCATGTGGCTCATTCCATATCAACAAAACATGGACGTCGGAAAGATATGTGTTTACTATCCTGCTTTTCCTGACTTATCTTGCTGCACCGCTTGGCCTCGTATTTTACATCGTAGGAAAACACTCCTTTTTGAAAGAGTATCAAAAAAATGTACAAAATGCTATAAAAAACGACTATTTTCATATTGATCAACTGAAACATCCATTCTCAACTCCTCATACCGTTCGATTTGCTGATAAACTACCTGAATCGTTGTCTTCAATCTACTATTTCTTACTTGGCATCATTGGGTTAACAACTTTATTTACTATCGTTCTTCCAAGTTACATCGGTTTGATAATCTATTGCCGAATCGTGTACAAGTATTCATCATCATCATTATCCGATTTAAAAACCATCCCCGAAGCTCTTCGCAATGTAACAGCAGAGATGAGATTAACATTGATCAAAACCGATCGTAATCAACGGCGTTTGATCTGGCATCTCAAATATCTTCTTTTGCAATTCGCCACTATTTTCGAATATGCTTCCAACTACTCCGAACCTTTTCGTTTATTTCGATCCTTAGAAGAATACTTTCGTAAAATCTATCATACTCCGTACTTCGTTCTGGGTAATGGCATCGCTGTGAATTCGTATGACATAGTCAAACGGTATATTCAAGATCTTCCACCACGAAAAGATGCGGAACTACTGGCTTGGGAAATTTCACCATCATTGGAGACATTTTGTGATTTTACAACAGTTTTTCTTTCCACTAACCATCCGGATACGCAGTTAGGTCGTAAGATCATATTTCAATGGTTACATTCCTTTCCTCATAATCTGAAACATCGAAATTTCGAAATGGAACTTCAACTCTCACGAATAGTTCCACGTCACATGGATAAGAAGCCAACGAAAGATTTAGTCTATCAAGCCGTCGGAGAAGTTATGTTTTTCTTGGCAACTAATGGAGAACTAACAAAAAGTGAACGATTAGCTTATATCAGTTGCGTCCAAAGCCCATTCATATTCTTCCCTAATTGGTTCAATTTCTTATTTAATGGTCACTATTTCGAACGGAAAAATCTAAGCAATTATTACACACTGCTTCGTGCATTTTTGCGCTATGAAAACGGATCGGCTTTGCAAGCAGCTTTTATGGCAGCTGAGAAGAAGAAGTCGCACGAAGAAGTTTTGAAATTTATCACCGTTGTCTTCTGTGTGGCTGGAAGTCCGGCACCAGCGAAACTAGCAGTGACTGTCATCGATCGATTGTGGGCAGACAAGGAAAAAAACGTTCCGCTATTCAAGAAGAACCCTCACAATTTTATAAAAGAATGTGCTCGACTGGACAAAGCTGTCCCGACAGTGAATGTCTTGGCAACAGATGAAATCGTTAGTGAAGTTGAAAAATCTTTCGAAGGTAAGATTAAAATTTCCGAAAACACGCCAGTTCATTGTTCAATTGTCAATGCCAATCGTGACAAAGCAGTTTTTGAAAATCCTGATGAGTTTATACCAGATCGTTTGGATTTGAACAAAATCCTTGTTTGGAACGGTGTTGAAGAGGATATCATCAATCCAGATCAGAGCAAACGACCCATTCGATACTGTCCCGGACATGATTTATCTCTCGATATTGTCCAATATGTCGCCGAGCGATTTTTACCAGTTACTGACGATATCGACGAAGATAATAACAACAAAAACGAACAAGATTTGATCGTCTTCGAACAAAAGATCCGAAAATTGACCCCAAACGAAGAAAGTCATTGCTGGAATGTGTTAGACACATACACAAAAGTTGTTCGACTATTAATGACAATCGTTATTAACGAATCCAATTTATTTCCATCACGTGCTATTGATATAGCGCCACCAATGCATTTACCCGTAAAGAATTTCAGTATCTTTCGTATCGACATGGCGAAATTCATCCCGTCGTGGGACGAAGATAAACCGAATGGCTCACGACCGTTGAGAAAGTTCGCTCGATGGTTAGTTAACAGTAACATTTGGGATTTTTATGATTGTCTAGCGGGATTCGATACATTAGAGCAAGCACTGGCATGGCGCTCACAAATTTTCCCTTCATTACCTTTACCAAATATCGTCTATACCGACATGTTTTCAGATGAAGCGATGAGTCGTTTGGCATTCTTCGGTTGTGCATGTCATTATACTCAACGGATTGACAAATCTGAGCAGCCAGCTTTACAGAACGCTGTCTATGTCAATGACATGACGGTGTTATCGATCTTTCGTGTTCGAAGACCATTCGAACGGTACGGTGCAGCAGCATATTTCGATGGCGATTTTCAATTGATTGCCATCTACTGGTGTCATGCCAATCGAGTAGTCAGAAAAGATGATCAATTCTGGGAGCATGCCAAATATGTCTGGCGTTCATCATTCTTCGCTTACGTAACGATACACGATCATTTAATTGTTACACATATGATTGAATGCAATGCATTGGTCACTGCCACACGAAAATATTTGACCAATGATCATCCACTACGATTATTTCTCCAACCATTTACTTATCACACGGTTTCAGTTAACTACCAAGCTGCTATTTCATTAGTCAATCGACGTGGTCTCGTTCATCGCGTATGGGCATTCGATTACGATGAATTTTTGAAAGTATGTGACTATATTTCCATGACTTACAAATTTCGTTTACTACCTGAATATATTCCGTCATCCATGTCTCCAGAAAACAACTCGAAAAGCAAAGAACAATGGGACAAAGTTTATCCAATTTATTCCGACATGAATCATTTTTGGAAGATCATTCATAAATATGTTGAAAACTTCTTTCATATCACTTTTAACGTGCAAGACGATGACAAATTACCGATGGATACGCACATGACGGAGTTTATTAATGAATTATGCAAACAACTAGGCATACCTGGCATTGTCTCATTAAAACGATTTATTGATGTTTTAGCACATCTCATCGCCAGTAGTACGGGTATGCACGAACATGTTGGACAAATTAGTGATTACGTCATTGATCCGAGATTTATCGGAGCAAAACTACAAGAAGGAAAGGAAATTCAAAACATCCAGACATACACCCAAATACTGATTTTAACAGTTGTTACCGGTGTGCGTATGCCTGGCTTGTTAGAAGATTGGAGTCATCTGATTGAACGTAATCAGTACTATGAGAAGAACTTGGCGAATTATGAAAATTTCAAAAATGAATTGAAAAACTTATCTCAAGATATCGATCATCGGAATAAAACAAGAAAATATCCATTTGAATCATTTAATCCAAAGTTTATCGAGTGTTCAGCGTCTGTTTGAATTTTTCTTCCTCAATAAATATTCATCGACGACATCTATGAGCGACAATTTTTTTCTAAAAAAGAACGTGTAACTGAAACTCTTTGAGAACATTTCACGGTACGACCAATAGAAAATTGCGTCGTTGTGGAAACGAGAATACATTCGTCATAATAGCAAATACAAAGTGACATTTTGAGAGGAATCGTGTCGGATCCGTTCAAAACAACTATTTTCTACTTAGCAACGTCGAAATAAAACTGAATGATCAATGAAATGAAATGCATGAGTAATAACTCGTTCTCTTTCTTATGTGGTAACCATGAGGTTGCATTTTATCGATCTACCTGTATATACTATTTACATAACTGTTTTCACTTGCATTTAATCTAATCGTTTAAAATAAATTACAGCGTTTGTCCTTATCTGTGAAGGTAAAGGCCATATTCTTCGTTGAATAATTGACTCTATCTCGCCTTTTTACGATGTCCCTGTCATTCAATATTCTGTAAGTAATAAAAATTTCTTCTCTATACTTTGAAAATCTTTTATTTATTTTTCAGTTATTCACGTCTACTTGTTCGTCATCATTGGCTTGTCCTTAGTTTCGTGGTATTCAGTTGTATAACATTGACAGTCACTGCGTTTGTGTTCACAAAGTTACCTGACTTATCTGATCCACGAATAGGATGGGGAGCACGTGGAAAAGGAACGATATTCTCCCAATTGATGGTGTTACGTCATGCAGCGGAAA